ATTTTTTGCGAAAGTGTTACTACCTGTTTATTTTTTAAGTAATTAGACACCACTGCCTCGGCTTTTCAATTATGAAGATATATTAAAAGAAATTATACTGCTGCCTCGGCTTTTAAAACAAAATGTGCGTTATAAAAAGTGTTACTACCTGTTTTTGCGTAATAAAAACTACTGCCTCGGCAGCATAGCTGCCTCGGCTTCTTAATTATGGAAATGTATTAAAAGAAGTTATATTACCAAGTTGTTAATACGTCATCTTTTGCTTCGGTAGCATAGTTGCCTCGACTTTTAAAACAAAATGTGCGTTATAAACAGTGTTACCACTTGTTTTTGAGTAATAAAAACTACTACCTTGGCAGTATAGCCGCCTCGGTTTTTTAATTATAAAGATATATTAAAAGAAGTTACTATCTAATCGTTAATGCGTGAATTGTTGCCTCGGCAGCATAGCTGTCTCAGCTTTTAAAATGTGTTACTATCTGTTTTTGAGTAATTAAATTACTACCTCGGTTTTTCAATTATAAAGATATTAAAAGAACTTACTATCTAGTCGTTCGTACGTGAACTATTGCCTCGGCAGCATAGTTGCCTCGGCTTCTTAATTACGGAAATGTATTTAAGAAAGTTATATTACCAAGTCGTTAATACGTCAACTGTTGCCTCGGCAGCATAACTACCTCGGCTTTTAAAGCAAAATGTGCGTTATAAACAATGCCACTATCTGTTTTCGAGTAATTAAACTACTACCTCGGCAGCATGGCTACCTCGGTTTTTCAATTATGAAGATATATTAAGAGAAGTTACTATCTAGTCATTCGTACGTGAACTGTTGCCTCGGCAGCATAGCTGCCTCGGTTTTTAATACAAAATGAGCATCATAAAAAGTGTTACTACCTGTTTTTGAGTAATAAAAACTACTGCCTCGGCAGCATAGCTGCCTCGGCTTCTTAGTTATGGAAATGTATTTAATAAAGTCATATTATGGAGTCGTTAATACGTCAACTGTTGCCTCGGCAGCATAGCTGCCTCGGTTTTTAATACAAAATGTGTGTTATAAAAAATGTTACTACCTGTTTTTGCGTAATAAAAACTACTGCCTCGGCTTCTTAGTTATGGAAATGTATTTAATAAAGTTATATTACCAAGTCGTTAATACGTCAACTGTTGCCTCGGCAGCATAACTACCTCGGCTTTTAAAGCAAAATGTGCGTTATAAACAATGTCACTATCTGTTTTCGAGTAATTAAACTACTGCCTCGGCAGCATGGCTACCTCGGTTTTTCAATTATGAAAATATATTAAAAGAAGTTACTATCTAGTCATTCGTACGTGAACTGTTGCCTCGGCAGCATAGCTGCCTCGGTTTTTAATACAAAATCTGCGTTATAAAAAGTGTTACTACCTGTTTTTGAGTAATAAAAACTACTGCCTCGGCAGCATAGCTGCCTCAGTTTTTTAGTTATGGAAATGTATTTAATAAAGTTATATTATGAAGTCGTTAATACGTCAACTGTTGTCTCGGCAGCATAGCTGCCTCGGTTTTTAATACAAAATGAGCATCATAAAAAGTGTTACTACCTGTTTTTGAGTAATAAAAACTACTGCCTCGGCAGCATAGCTGCCTCGGCTTCTTAGTTATGGAAATGTATTTAATGAAGTTATATTATGGAGTCGTTAATACGTCAACTGTTGCCTCGGCAGCATAGCTGCCTCGGTTTGTAACTTTTTTGAATAATTATATGATTGCCTCGGCAAATTAATTTAAAATTCTTTTTTTATTATTTCAGATAAATCAACTCAGGGTCAATGTATTGTTTGTGGTTCGCAACTAGGTCCACAACTTCAATCTCGGCCTTTAGCCCCAAATCAAGCTTCACTATACGGCCTCCGTGAAGATCAAGTCCCGGCAAACGGTCGAATTTGCAACACATGCCGTTGCAAAAGCGTCCGTTCCCGATACACCCATTGCCCCTTACCAACGTGCCCCAACGCCCGAGGCCGAGTAAAACGCCTCCGCTCGTTACCCCAACGCCTCCAAGAAATCCCCCAAGACGTCCGAGACCAACTCCTAGCCGAATTCCACGTTTCCTCGGGAGTTGTAAAATGTTGCTCGGCCTGTTTTAACCGGATTCAGCGCCGATTGGGCGTCGTGGAAGATTGGCCCGAAGAAGAAGTGGGGCAGTTAAGGGCCGCTTTAACGGAATTGGGGGCGAATTGGCAATTAGTTGGGGAGAAATTAAATAAAACCGCGTCGCAAGTTCGAGGATTTTACGCGACCAATCGGAAGAGATTGGGGTTGGAGTCGTGCTTGGGCGATCGGAAACCAACGTTAACGGATGAAGAGGAAAGTGGGTCGTCGACTAGTTCTTGCGAGGAGCCGGTTAGTGGAGGAAGAGAGAGACACTCAAGTGATACGGTTAGCGCGGAAAGTCCCCCCGTTAATCATGAAAATCGCGAAAAGAATCCGACGAGGAAAGAAGATTATGACTCATCGGCCACTGAAACAGCTGATGANAAATCAAAAATTAAGGTTGGTATTAATATTTAAAAATTGAATTGCTATCTTCATTGTTGCTAACTTCCGGTTTAATGTTTTTTATTCTAACTTTTTTGTTTTTTGAGATAAGTACGTCATGTTTGGACTCATTTTAAAGGGTTTTTAATGAAGATAACAGATATGTCAAAATTGACGTTGACGTTTCAAACCGGAAGTGATTGTATTTCCGTTAATATTAAAATTAAATATGGCGAGTTTGGACTCATTTTAAAGGATTTTGTATGAAGTTGACAAATATGTTAAAATTACATGTTGAAGTTAATTTTTTGTTTTTTTTTTTCGAGATAAATGAAGATTACGAATATAAGGGATGTCACTCTATAATTATAACCTCAAATCGAAACGTCTTGTGAGCGTTGTCATGAATCTGTTAGTGTTTTCACAAGCCGAAAATGTTTTCTTTGAAAGGAAAACCANAAAAATTAAGGTTGGTATTAATATTTAAAAATTAAATGACTATCTTCATTGTTGCTAACTTCGGGTTTAATGTTTTTTAGTCTAACTTTTTTGTTTTTTGAGATAAGTACGTCATGTTTGGACTCATTTTAAAGGGTTTTTGATGAAGATAACAAATATGTCAAAATTGATGTTGACGTTTCAAACCGGAAGTGATTGTATTTCCGTTAATATTAAAGTTAAATATGTCGAGTTTGGACTCATTTTAAAGAATTTTTTATAAAGTTGACAAATATGTCAAAATTACATGTTTAAAGTTAATTTTTTGTTTTTTTTTTTCGAGATAAATGAAGATTACGAATATAATAATAAAATTACAGTTGACATTGACAACTGAAAGTTTTTTTCACGACTAAAACTGAATGTTTTTAGTTCTCGTTTTAGGTTTTAGTTCAATAAAAGTATACAACATAGTAATCTTATGCTAACTAGCGCTACCTATCACTGTCACTAGAACTAACACTAGACCGAGAACTAGAAACATTCGGGTTTAGCCGCACGTCTCTCAAGACGGCTAAACCCGAATGATTCTAGTTCTAGGTCTAGTGTTAGTTCTAGTGTTAGTGCAAAAAAAATATGGAACATAGTGATATCTTATGCTGCTAACTAACTCTACCGCTGTCGTTGAATAAGATGAGAGATGTTAATCTATTTCTAGAGTCTTTGAAGATGGCCAAGGCCGAAACTAGTTTATAGACTTCAATTCTATATAAAATAAAAGGCAAACTTTTAATTTTATACTAACATCTAGAAAACGACACTGGCCCGAAATTATAGGTTCATCTATTTTTTCTATTGTAGAATTTCTTAGTATATCTAAGTGTCTAAGTGTCGTATCTAATTGTAAGTCGGTTCTTAGACGTATGATGCAAATAGGACTTGAAATCGTACAACATGATTGGCGCTTAGCTTTATCCGTGAAAACAAATAGTATTTTAGGTGTTTCGGTATTCAGCATTTTTTCTAAGATAATTTACACCTTTAACTACCAGACAGCATGAAAATCTCTAAGGTCCATTACTACCATCTTTTAGTTAAATTTATTTTATAGATAAACACATCTACTAGCCAATCAGAGCGCGTGAAATAGCCGAAACCATAGTAATAATCCCTTAGATAGCTTAACCAGAAGATGGTAGCCTAAGCCTTAGGCTCGTTACTACCATCTTCTGGTTAAGCTATCTAAGAGATTATTACCACGGTTACGGCTATTTTATGCGCTCTGATTGGCTAGTAGATGGGTTTATCTATAAGATAAATTTATCTAAAAGATGGTAGTAATGGACCTTAAGGCTTGTTACTACCATCTTCTGGCTAAGATATCTAAGGGATTATTACTACGGTTACGGCTATTTTACGCGCTCTGATTGACTAGTAGATAGGTTTATCTATAAGATAAATTTAACTAAAAGATGGTAGTAATGGACCTAAGGGTCGGTGTACAATATACCGATAACATTCCCGACAGCGTTATCTGGCAGATAAATTAGTTTGTACTGTATTACAATGTACGGATATTTTTGTCGGTGAGATCATCGGCAAGATAACTTATCGGGTACTCAGCGGTGCCGATAAGATACTTATCCGTGAGATATTTATGGTTACCAATGTTTTTATATAAAAACTTTGTATGGTTACTGCATAGGTTAACCTATAGCATTAACTTTATATGTACGATGTGTCAGTTGTCTGTAATGAAAATTGTTTTAAACTATTATTATTGTCAAAATCATAATTCAAACTTCAAAGAAAGACGTTAGCGTTACCATTCCACGGCATAAATCACTAGATATGGGGAAAAACTATTACCAACCGACTTTTATTTCGCCGATAGCAATCTAACATATCTTTATCTTCGTGATAAGTTTATCGGCCGGATAGATATCAGGTAGATTTATCTGTATATTGTACAACCGGCCCCAAAAACGATAAAATGTCGCTTCCAATTAAAATTATTAATTAATAAATAAAACTTTTCTTGTTTAGGTGGTCTTTTACGTCAACTTCCTCCCGAATCGACTAAAATGGGATCGATAACCCAAGGAACCCCAATTCACGTCCCACACCAAGACAAACGCATCTACGACCCTTATTTTACCACGAAACGACCTCCAAACCCCACCCAACAATACCAACCAAACCACCAATATCGCACCGCCCCCTACTCGGTGGAACACCAATTAAGTAACCGACAAATAATTATGACCGATTACATAACCTCACAACATATGCCGGGGAGGCGCCCCGAAAAACAATATTACCCGTCGATGAGAACCCCGCCACCGCCCACCGCTCAAGTCGTTCAGTCCCAACAACAAAGACAAGGAGTGATTCAAAGACACAATACGAGGCCGCATTACCCGCCGCCACCGCCCGGACACGAAGCGCTAAATTCTTTGGTGGATATCGCGGTGCAACAGCCGAGTTTGCCCGTTCCGAATGCGCCGCCTCACGAGGGGTTGGGAAAAACGATCGCGGACAATATTTTGGAACAGCCGCATCGGTATATGTTGCAACAACAGCAACAGCTCAGGCAACAACAACAGCAACAACATCAACATCAACAGCAAAGAATTGAAGCTGAGAGGAGGTAAATTAATTTTATTCAAGTAATTAATAATTAATTAATTTTTAAAGTAAGTAATTTTTAAAGTTGTTTTTTTTTGAGTATTAGACCTCTGCCTCGGCAGCATAGCTGCCTCGGCTTCTAAATAATGGAGATGTATTCAAAGAAGTTATACTACCAGATCTTGAATACGTGAACTGTTGCCTCAGTAGCATAACTGCCTCTACTTATAAATAATAAATGTCCGTTATGAAGTGCCACTATTACCTGTTTCTTTTTTGAGTGATTAATTCACTGCCTCGGCTTTTTTTTTAGTAATGGAAATGTACTAAAAGAAGTTATACTACCTTGAATCTTAAATATGTTAACTGTTGCCTCGGCTTCTAACTAATAAATGTGCCTTATTAAGTGTCACTACAGGTTTCTTTTTTGAGTAAATAGACCATTACTTCGTAGACAGCTACCTCAATTTCTTAATAATGAAGGCGCATTAAAAAAAATGCTTGCCTACCTGGTCTAAAAGAACATTTGAACTGTGCCTCAATAATATAGCTGCCTCACTCTGTAGGTACCTTTTTAAAATAATTATAACACTGTCTTAATCACAATCTCGCAACATCAATTAATTAACCTCAATAAAATTAATATTGTTATTTAATTGATGTTTTTGAAATTGTTAATTAATTAATGCTGAGGTTATTAATTAATTAAATTAAAATAGCAACCTCAACAATACCGACATTGTGAATTAATTAATGTTGTTAAAGTTATTTATTAATTAATTTTTAGTAATTATGAATTAATTAATATTGTTGAGGTTGTTAATTATTAATAGCAATCTCAATTAATTAACAACATCGATTACTTAACAATCTCAACAACATCAATAATTAACAAACTCAACAAAATTAATTAAGTAGCAAGCTCAACAACATTAACACTGTTAGTTAATAGTAAATTAATGTTGTTGAGAGTGTTAAATATTGATGCTGTTAATTAAGTGATATTGTTGAGGTTGCTATTAATTAACAACCCCAACAACATTGATATTGTTCATGAATTAATATTGTTAAAGTTGTTTATAAATTAATTTTTAGTAATTATGAATTAATTAATATTGTTGAGGTTGCTATTAATAATTAACAACTTCAACAATCTCAATTAACAACATCAAATAATGAACAAACCCAACAACTTTAATATTGTTAGTTAATTAATGTTGTTAAACTTGATTATTAATTAATTTTTAGTAAATATGAATTAATTAATATTGTTGAGGTTGCTATTAATAATTGACAACTTCAACAATCACAATTAACAACATCAAATAATGAACAAACCCAACAACTTTAATATTGTTAGTTAATTAATATTGTGGAAGGTGAATTAATTATTTTTCTTAATTAATAAATTACTTAATATTGTTAAGGTTGCTATTAATTAACAACCTCAACAACATTAATATTGTTACTTAATTGATGTTGTGGAAGTTGTTAACCAATTAATGTTGAGGTTATTAATTAATTAATGTTGTTGATGTTGCTATTAATAATGAACAACCTCAATAATCCCAATTAATTAACAAGATCGATTAATTAACAACCCTAACAACATCAATAATTAACAATCTCAACAACATTAATTAAATAGCAACCTCAACAACATCAACATTGTTAGTTAGTTAATTAATGTTGTTAAAGTTATTTATTAATTAATTTTTAGTAATTATGAATTAATTAATATTGTTGAGGTTATTAATTATTAATAGTAACCTCAACAATCTCAACTAACAACATCAAATAATGAACAAACCCAACAACTTTAATATTGTTAGTTAATTAATGTCATTAAAGTTGATTATTAATTAATTTTTAGTAATTATGACTTAATTAATATTGTTGAGGTTGCTATTAATAATTAACAACATCAAATAATGAACAAACCCAACAACGTTAATATTGTTAGTTAATTAATGTTGTTGAAGGTGAATTAATTATTTTTCTTAATTCATAAATTACTTAATATTGCTAAAGTTGCTATTAATTAACAACCTCAATTAATTGATAACCTCAACAACATTAATATTGTTACTTAATTGATTTTGTGGAAGTTGTTAACCAATTAACGTTGAGGTTATTAATTAATTAATGTTGTTGAGGTTGCTATTAATAATAAACAACCTCAACGATCCCAATTAATTAACAAGATCGATTAATTAACAACCCTAACAACATCAATAATTAACAATCTCAACAACATTAATTAAATAGCAACCTCAACAACATCAACATTGTTAGTTAGTTAATTAATGTTGTTAAAGTTATTTATTAATTAATTTTTAGTAATTATGAATTAATTAATATTGTTGAGGTTATTAATTATTAATAGTAACCTCAACAATCTCAACTAACAACATCAAATAATGAACAAACCCAACAACTTTAATATTGTTAGTTAATTAATGTCATTAAAGTTGATTATTAATTAATTTTTAGTAATTATGACTTAATTAATATTGTTGAGGTTGCTATTAATAATTAACAACATCAAATAATGAACAAACCCAACAACTTTAATATTGTTAGTTAATTAATGTTGTTGAAGGTGAATTAATTATTTTTCTTAATTCATAAATTACTTAATATTGCTAAAGTTGCTATTAATTAACAACCTCAATTAATTGACAACCTCAATAACATTAATATTGTTACTTAATTGATGTTGTGGAAGTTGTTAACCAATTAATGTTGAGGTTATTAATTAATTAATGTTGTTGAGGTTGCTATTAATAATAAACAACCTCAATAATCCCAATTAATTAACAAGATCGATTAATTAACAACCCTAACAACATCAATAATTAACAATCTCAACAACATTAATTAAATAGCAACCTCAACAACATCAACATTGTTAGTTAATTAATGTTATTAAAGTTATTTATTAATTAATTTTTAGTAATTATGAATTAATTAATATTGTTGAGGTTATTAATTATTAATAGTAACCTCAACAATCTCAATTAACGACATCAAATAATGAACAAACCCAACAACTTTAATATTGTTAGTTAATTAATGTTGTTAAAGCTGATTATTAATTAATTTTTAATAGTTATGACTTAAATAATATTGTTGAGGTTGCTATTAATAATTAACAACTTCAACAATCTCAATTAACAACATCAAATAATGAACAAACCCAACACCTTTAATATTGTTAGTTAATTAATGTTGTTGAAGGTGAATTAATTATTTTTCTTAATTAATAAATTACTTAATATTGTTAAGGTTGCTATTAATTAACAACCTCAATTAATTGACAACCAACATTAATATTGTTATTTAATTGATGTTGTGGAAGTTGTTAACCAATTAATGTTGAAGTTATTAATTAATTAATGTTGTTGAGGTTGCTATTAATAATGAACAACCTCAATAATCTCAATTAATTAACAACATCGATTACTTAACAACCCTAACAACATCAATAATTAACAATCTCCACAACATTAATTAAATAGCAACCTCAACAACATCAACATTGTTAGTTAATTAATGTTGTTAAAGTTATTTATTAATTAATTTTTAGTAATTATGAATTAATTAATATTGTTGAGGTTGTTAATTATTAATAGCAACCTCAATAATCTCAATTAATTAACAACATCGATTAATTAACAACCCTAACAACATCAATAATTAACAAACTCAACAAAATTAATTAAACAGCAACCTCAACAACATCAACATTGTTAGTTAATTAATATTGTTAAAGTTGTTTATTAATTAATTTTTAGTAATTATGAATTAATTAATATTATTGAGGTTGTTAATTATTAATAGCAATCTCAATTAATTAACAACATCGATTACTTAACAACCCCAACAACATCAATAATTAACAAACTCAACAAAATTAATTAAGTAGCAAGCTCAACAACATTAACACTGTTAGTTAATAGTAAATTAATGTTGTTGAGAGTGTTAAATATTGATGCTGTTAATTAATTGAGATTGTTGAGGTTGCTATTAATTAACAACCCCAACAACATTAATATTGTTCATTAATTAATATTGATAAAGTTGTTTTTTAATTAATTTTTAGTAATTATGAATTAATTAATATTGTTGAGGTTGTTAATTATTAATAGCAATCTCAATTAATTAACAACATCGATTACTTAACAACCCCAACAACATCAATAATTAACAAACTCAACAAAATTAATTAAGTAGCAACCTCAACAACATTAACACTGCTAGTTAATAGTAAATTAATGTTGTTGAGGGTGTTAAATTGTTAATTAATTGAGATTGTTGAGGTTGCTATTAATTAACAACCCCAACAACGTTGATATTGTTCATTAAGTAATATTGTTAAAGTTGTTTATTAATTAATTTTTAGTAATTATGAATTAATTAATATTGTTGATGTTGTTAATAATTATTAATAGCAACCTCAACAATCTCAATTAATTAACAACATCGATTAATTAACAACCCCAACAACATCAATAATTAACAATCTCAACAACATTAATTAAATAGCAACCTCAACATTGTTAGTTAATTAATATTGTTTAAGTTGTTTATTAATTAATTTTTAGTAATTATGAATTAATTAATTTTTTGTGAGGTTGTTAATTATTAATAGCAACCTCAACAATCTCAATTAATTACCAACATCGATTACTTAACAACCCCAAAAACATCAATAATTAACAATCTCAACAACATTAATTAAATGGCAACCTCAACAACATTAACATTGTTGGTTAATAGTACCAACATGCTATTAATTGAGATTGCTATTAATTAACAACCTTAATTAATTAACAACCCCACATCATTTTTAGTTAATAAATGTTGAAGTTGTTCATTAATTTTAAAAAATTATAAATGAATTAATGTTGTTATTGCTGTTAATAATTAATAACCTCTACAATCTCAATTAATCAGCAACCCCAACATCAACAGTTAACAACCTCATCAACATCAATTATTTTATAATTTCTATAAATTAAATAACAATATCAAGAATTAAAGAACAACCTCAACACCATTAATGTTGCTAATTTATTAATTAATGTTGAGGAGGTTGTTAATTACTTGAGATTGTTGAAGTTGTTAATTAATAGCAACCTCAACAATATTATTTGTTAATTAATTAATATTTTTAAGATATAAATTAATTACTCTTGTTGAGGTTGCTATTAATTAACCTCAACAATTTCAATTAATTAACATCAACAACATTAATTAAATAACAACCTCAACACCATTCATGTTGCTAATTTATTAATTCAACAATATTATTTGTTAATTAATTAATATGTTTAAGATATACAGGTGTCACATAAAAAACGCCCTAAGCTGTAACTCTGTCATTTACACTTCAATTTTCATGAATCAGGTATCAAATGAAATGGTTTGATGAATACTATGTTTTATGGTACAAATATTTTTGTTTTTCAAATTGCTGGCTATATTATTTTTTGCGTCATTAAATAGAGATTTATTTTAATTGTGATTTTAGCAGAAAAAACACCCTGTATATACATTGTGTAATACAAGAACGCCCCACGCTGTAACTCTATCATTTACACTTCGATTTTCATAAACGAGGTATCAAATGAAATTGTTTGATGAATACTATGTTTCATGGTACAAATATTTTTGCTTTTCAAATTGCTCGGTATATTATTTTTTGTATCATTGGATAGAGATTTTTTTCTGAATTCATCCGATATACAGGTGGACCAAATTGGACGTTTTCTATAAGAGATAGAGGAAAAATGATATCACTGTCTGAGACTCGAATTTTGAGCCTCAGACAGTGATATACAGAAAGATACAGGGTGTTTTCAAATAAGAAAATGCCCTTTTTTGCAGGTAGCTGATCAAATATTAAAAAAAAACTTGTTTTAATGCATCTTAATTATTAAGAAGCCGAGGCAGTAGGCTAATTACTAAAAAAAAAGAAACAATAGTGACACTTTTTAACGCACATTTATTGTTTAAAAGTTAAGATTTGTTTATATTTTTTTTAAATGAATAAAATTTTTGAATTTAGAGTTTACCACCAACAACCAAGACCCCAACAACTCCAACCACAACAAGTAAATCGAAACGAATCAACATTAACAGCGGCTAGTTTAATCGACGCGATCATAACACACCAAATAAATCAATCGGAAGGTGGAAGAGAAGTGGTTACGAATAGCCGCGAACCCCAACGCGCGGGGGATCGTCTTTTTCAAAGTTTCCACCGCGAGCAACCCCAACCGGTCATCGACAACAACGGCGAGCGGCCATCCTCGGTGATTTCCGTCGATTTAGACGGCGACAACACGATCGTCAACAAAAATATGACCGTTAAAGAATTGACGGATTCCGTGATTAGCCACGATTTTAATACTCGCCAGCATTACTATCACCACCAAGATAAAGTAAACGAGTGGAATCGGAGGATGCAACACAAAGAGGATAAACGATCGGGGACCCCGCAACAAGACGAGCGACAAATTATAAGGATAGCACAACAACAACAACAACCGCAGAAATATCACGGAGTCGAACCGATTTCGCCGCCGGAAGCGAATCATTGGCCAGAACAAAATTATCGGAGATATCAAACCCAACAGCAACAACAACAACAACAACAACCTCAATCGCATCTCTCGGCGTTTGATTACGTTAAAAATCGGATTGTTGAGGTGATGAGGACCGAGGATGATAATAAAAAGGATGGACAGGATAAAGATCGGAGTGATAGTCCTGGTGATATGGTTATTGATGAGGAAAAACACGACGGTGATAATAACGCGCCCGGAAGTGTCGTGCAAGTACAACCCAGTTATTCTTACGCGATGGATGGGAACAGAAATGAGCCGGAACCGCTGTTAGATTCAAAATACGAACAATTATCCGACGAGGATTAACCTAAAATAACGTGATTTTTTTTTGACTTCATTTTTTAATTAAATAATCTGTAAATAGTTTAAAATCGTACGTTAAAAACCCAAAAAAAAATTAATAATAATTCTTTTTTTATATATTATAAATAAAATTAGGGTTAATTTACGCTCTTTAAGGAAGTATTTGAGGAATTTTTTAAAGAATTCTTTGAGGTACTCTTTGAGAGAGGCGCGCACGTCCAAAAACTAGTGGAAAAAAATCCTTCTTCACCCATTGTACATTATTTTCGACGTGTATTTTTTATATACATACATACCTGTATATCTATACATATATTAATAAGCGTAGGGCGAAGATTTAAATAAAAAAGCGTGGACATGTGAATATTATAAATATTATAAATAAAAAAATTGGTTGAAAATTTCGCGGGCGTTCTGCCGTCGCCGTAAAATTTAGGTTTTAAGTGAGAACCGAGTGGAAGAATCGTAAAAGTGCGAGGAAAGAAAGGTGTAGATGATAAGAAACAAAAAAAATTAATAAAAAAAATAAACCAGGACGGTTGTACATAAATTCAAACTTGTACTTTTTTCTATTTGTTTAATTAATCCCGTGTCGATATTTCTTTCTCTTTTTTTTTATTATTATTTTACTACTACTGCTACTACCTTTTTGTCACTTATTAGTTTTTAAACGATTTTTAAAACGATGACTTGTTATTTTGTTGAAATAAATTTGAAATATCAGTTGGATCGATAATAAAAAATAGGTTATGTTGTTTCTTGTTCAAATCCTAACCTTTACGCGATTAATAAAAACATTTAAATTCACCTACCTTTTCGTTGTGGGTCAAATGAAGGCGCCGAATCTTAATTTGATGATCCTTTCCTCGGGAAATTGGCGAAAACACAATTTTCATTTCAACTCAAACGTCATCTGTCAAAAACAAATTATTTTAATACTAGCGACATCTCTTATTTTGCGTCAAAATTAATCGATAATTTAAAAAAATTTTATTTGTGTATGTATTACTACTTTTTCATCACTTATTAGATTAGTTCATAAACGATTTTAAAAACGACAACTTATTTTGTTTAAATAAATTTGAAATATCATTAAATCGACGATAAAAAATAAAAATAGGTTATGTTGTTAGTTATTGAAATCGTAAACTTTACGCGATAAAAGAACCATTTAGATTCACTTACCTTTTCATTTTGGGTTAATTGAGAGCGCCGAATCTTAATTTGTTGATCCCTTTTTCGCGAAATTGGTGATAAAACGCGATTTTCACTTAAACTCAAACGCCACCTGTCAAAATGAATTTCTTTTTAATACTAGCGCCCTCTTTTATTTAGCGTCGAAATTAATCGAAAATGATTTATTAAAAAAATTAAGTTATTTAAATTATTAATATTTTTTCATTACTTATTAGTTCATAAACGATTTTACAAGCAACAACTTATTTTGTTTTAATAAATTTGAAATATCTTTAGATCGACAATAAAAAATAGGTTATGTTGTTTCTTTTTGAAATCGTAAAATTTACGCGATAAAAAAACGTTTGGATTCACTTACTTTTTCATTTTGGGTTAATCGAGGGCGGCGAATCTTAATTTGATGATCCCTTTTTCGCGAAATTGGTGATAAAACGCGATTTTCACTTAAATTCAAACGCCACCTGTCAAAATGAATTTCTTTTTAATACTAACGCCCTCTTTTATTTAACGTCCGAACTAATCGAAAATGATTTATTAAAAAAATTATGTTACTTAAGTTATTAATATTTTTTCATTACTTATTAGTTGATAAACGATTTTAAAAACAACAAGTTATTTTGTTTAAATAAATTTGAAATATCTTTAGATCGACGATAAAAAATAGGTTATGTTGTTTCTTTTTGAAATCGTAAAATTTACGCGATAAAAAAACGTTTGGATTCACTTACTTTTTCATTTTGGGTTAATTGAGGGCGGCGAATCTTAATTTGGTGATCCCTTTTTCGCGAAATTTTTGATAAAACGCGATTTTCACTTAAATTCAAACACCACCTGTCAAAACGAATTTCTTTTTAATACTAGCGCCCTCTTTTATTTAACGTCCGAACTAATCAATAATAAATTATTAAAAAAATTAAGTTATTTAAATTATTAATATTTTTTCATTACTTATTAACGATTTTAAAAACAACAACTTATTTTGTTTAAATAAATTTGAAATATCTTTAAATCGACGATAAAAAATAGGTTATATTGTTTCTTTTTGAAATCGTAAAATTTACGCGATAAAAAAAGGTTTAGATTCACTTACCTTTTCATTTTGGGTTAATTGAGAGCTCCGAATCTTAATTTGGTGATCTCTTTTTCGCGAAATTGGTGTTAAAACGCGATTTTCACTTAAATTCAAACGCCACCTGTCAAAACGAATTTCTTTTTAATACTAACGCCCTCTTTTATTTAACGTCCGAACTAATCGATAATAATTTATTAAAAAATTAAGTTAATTAAATTATTAATATTTTTTCATTACTTATTAGTTCATAAACGATTTTAAAAACAACAACTTATTTTGTTTAAATTAATTTGAAATATCTTTAGATCGATGATAAAAAATAGGTTATGTTGTTTCTTTTTGAAATCGTCAACTTTATGCGATAAAAAAACGTTTAGATTCACTTACCTTTTCATTTTGAGATAATCGAGAGCGCCGAATCTTAATTTGGTGATCCCTTTTTCGCGAAATGTGTGATAAATCACGATTTTCACTTAAATTCAAACGCCACCTGTCAAAATGAATTTCTTTTTAATACTAACGCCCTCTTTTATTTAGCGTCGAAATTAATCGAAAATAATTTATTAAAAAAATTATGTTATTTAAGTTATTACTATTTTTTCATTATTTCTTAGTTCATACGATTTTAAAAACAACACCTTATTTTGTTTAAATAAATTTGAAATATCTTTAGATCGACGATAAAAAATAGGTTATGTTGTTTCTTTTTAAAATCGTCAACTTTACGCGATAAAAAAAAGTTTAGATTCACTTACCTTTTCATTTTTGGTTAATTGAGGGCGACGAATCTTAATTTGATGATCCTTTTCTCGGAAAATTGGTGATAAAATGCAATTTTCACTTAAATTCAAACGTCACCTGTCAAAATGAAATTATTTTTAATACTAACGACCTCTTTTATTCAGTCTCGGAAGTAATCGAAGAAGTATTAAAATAAAGATTCGCTTTAATTAGTAATAAATATTATTTATATTATTACTTTCATTATATTATACTAGGATAATAAGCAATAAAATTAATGCAAACTATTTTCAATTGTTCGCTAAATTAAACATCTTTATTTTAATACTTATACAGAGTGATTCAAAAGTATGGTTCAAGGATGAATTAGAGTATGAATTTAAATAAAAAATTCTTCTCTGATATTTCTGACTTACCACGACTTAATTGTACTTACTTTCAACAACAAATCATACAAACAACTCTACTTACTGATTTGCCCACAACGAAGTAGAAGAAGAACTAAATCGACTGAAACTGTCAATTAAAAAATTTGTAAGGATAAGCAAATGACAAAGAAGCCAACCTATAGACGCGAAATTGTTAATAACAAGGAAATAATACATATAATAATTGTTATAAATAGAATATAGGAAAAAATACTGAAGTATTAACTTCTCAACAGATTGACCTCTGCTCTAACATAAGTCTATAACAGCTTAAATTGTAGATCCTCAACCACATCTTTTTTACTTCTTAGCAGCTTACAGTCTAGACAACTCTCTACATCGAAATGCCTCGATTAGACAACCTCAATTAGTAACTTCATAATAGCTTATACTCTAGGACCTCGGCTTACAATTTCTAACAGTTTATTACTAAAAGCGACCTCTATAATTTAATAGCGGAATCGATACAAATCCAAAACAAAGATGTCGCTTTAACTTTAAAATAAATGTTTCTAAATCTAACTATACTAAATAACACAGCGTTTCATTTTATAATATATTTATTATTTAAAAAAGTAATACAAATACATTAATATAATGTAAATGATCACGTTTCGTGAGAAGATAACTTTTAAACAATCCAGATTTCAACCTCTATTTATTTTTATTCATTTTTTATTGTAATATAAATATTTAAACTAAAAACTGCACATAGATTAATATGTTTTTGTTAGAACCGACACGCGCATGTTCAAGGCTTCGACAAACCAGAACTCGGTCAAATATTGATCGAGTTTAGTCCAAAACGAGATTGATCCGCAAAAACACCACTTAGAACTCGAAAACATGAAATACAACGTCTTCTTTCTGTTAATATTCGCGTATTTGAAATTAATTCATAGTTTGGATAGTAATCAACAAAAACCGGAGGGACCACCGTTAAAATAGTAAGATTAAACTAATTTTATTTGATTATTATTTATCATAAATTTGTTAGTGTTCGAAATTGGTCCGAGAAATTAGGGGGGGAACTTTGGCACTTTGGTGATTTAGTAACAAGGAGGCATCAAGCGATGGAGAGCTTTAAAAAGTTAACAATCATCGAAGAACACGGGGATATGTTGCTAAAAGATATTGCAGAAGTAATCGGAAATTTTTTACAAAAAAAAGTAGACGCTGTTAAGGTTAAATTTATAAACAACTTTATCTCCAAATTTAACTTAATTTTAATATTTTAGCGTGTTGTCGATATTTCCGAACAATTAGCCAAAGTTCAAAAAGACCACGTTGACCCATCTTACGACTTTTACAACGCAAAAAACCTCTCAAACTCAATCAAAACAAATTTAACTATGCAAAATTCAACACTAGAAAGACACGATTACGAGAATTTCCGCGAAAAACGATTTTTAGAGGAGGAAGAAGGTTATCAACAAGACAATGGAGACTCCGAAATCGATCAAGACCAACCGAACGGAAATGAAGATGAGGATAATTTTGATAACGAAGAAAATATCGTAACCGATGACGAATTAGGCCCAATGGCGAGCCAAAAAACGCCGACGGAATCTAAAAGAACCTTACCTTTAACACCAAACGTTCATTTTTATAACATCCCGGTTAATACTAATCATAGCGCCGTTCACGTCCCAATCAACGTCTTCGAACGATGTAAATCTGCAACAAAAAGATACGATTTTAAGTTAATTTAAAAATTTTTTTAGCACCGGAAGTTATTAAAGGAATTAAATGGTCCGAACAACTCGACGATACGTTTAGAGATAACTACGAAAGAGACCCAACGTTGTCTTGGCAATATTTTGGAAGCTCAACTGGGTTTATGAGACAATTTCCAGGTTAAATTTTATTTTAATTTAATTAAACTTTATTTTGATGCAATTTTTTTTCAAAATGACACTTTATTGATATCATCATGAATCACCATGGTAACGGCAGGTTGAAAACTTTTAAACACAAAATTATTTTAGTCGCTACTTTTCCGGAGATGAAATAAGAAATAAAACTAAAACTAGAAATTTTCGGGTCAAAAACGCACGGCATACCCTAAAAATTTCTAGTTTTAGTTTTATTTCTAACGCAAAATGAACTAAAAAATTTTTTTTAATAAAACGTCAAAAAATGTCACTTGAAAAAGACGCTTAAAGATAGCGCCATCTGTTGGAAAAAGTACGTTTGTAACTAACTTCGCGTCATGTCAAATATCTTAGAGTAATTTAAAAAGACGAAAATTACGAATTACTATTTGATTTTTCGTTTTAATAACGTAAAACGTGACTAAAACGAACTTGTATGGCGCAAATTTCGTTTTAGTTTTATTTCTAAAACCAAGTGAGTTAAATAAATTTTAAAGAAACGTCAAAAAATGTCATTTGAAAAAGTGAGGTTAGGTTGTGTTGAGATAAAGGTTAGAAATCATCATTTTTTAGCACAGCTTTAAACCAACACGACCGTTTTCGAAGACATCGGCCGCCCCCGGGCGCTAAAACATTGAAAACCTAGAGTTAGATAAATTTCGTGTTTTCGAGGGCGGCCGATGTCTTCGAAAACTGCCGTGTTAGTTTAAAATTGTGTTATTTTTGTTCATCTATCAATTCGTCCCAACCTCACTTTTCCAAGTGACATTTTTGACGTTTCATTAAAAAAGGTTTGTTTTACTCACTTAGTGCATCCTCGAAGATTTTCTTTCATATTACCAATTTATAGGAAGTCATCTCGCTTGAAACAACCACAAGACGCGAAATATCCATCTACACAAGATCTTACTTTTTCTAGTGACATTTTTTAAAATCATTACTGCCGATTGAATAAGAAATAAAACTAAAACTAGAAATTTTGAGGTTATGCCGTGCGTCAAAGACGCTTTTTAGTTTTATTTCTAACGCGAAATGAACTAAATTCATTTTATTTTAATGAAACGTCAGAAAATGTCACTTGAAAAAGACGCATAGAAGATAGCGCCATCTGTTGGAAAAAGTAGTAACTTCTCGTCATGTCAAATATTTTAACCTTTGATTATATATAATCAAAGATTTTAACGTAATTGAAAATCGCGAATTACTATTTGATTTCTTTTTTTAATAACGTAAAACGTGACTAAAACGAACTTCTATGACGCAAATTTCGTTTTAGTTTTATTTCTAAAACCAAGTGAGTTAAATAAATTTTAAAGAAACGTCAAAAAATGTCATTTGAAAAAGTGAGGTTAGGTTGTGTTGAGATAAAGGTTAGAAATCATCATTTTTTAGCACAGCTTTAAACCAACACGGCCGTTTTCGAAGACATCGGCCGCCCCCGGGCGCTAAAACATTGAAAACCTAGAGTTAGATAAACATTTCGTGTTTTCGAGGGCGGCCGATGTCTTCGAAAACGGCCGTGTAAGTTTAAAATTGTGTTATTTTTGTTCATCTATCAATTCCTCCCAACCTCACTTTTCCAAGTGACATTTCTTGACGTTTCATTAAAAAAACTTTGTTTTACTCACTTAGTGCATCCTCGAAGATTTTCTTTCATATTACCGATTTATAGGAAGTCACCTCGCTTGAAACAGCCACAAGACACGAAATATCCATCTACACAAAATCTTACTTTTTCAAGTGACATTTTTTAAAATCATTACTGCCGATTGAATAAGAAATAACACTAAAACTAGAAATTTTCGGGTTATGCCGTGCGTCAAAGACGCTTTTTAGTTTTATTTCTAACGCAAAGTGAACTAAATTCATTTTATTTTAATGAAACGTCAGAAAATGTCACTTGAAAAAGACGCATAGAAGATAGCGCCATCTGTTGGAAAAAGTACTAACTTCTCGTCATGTCAAATATTTTAACCTTTGATTATATATAATAATTTTTAACGTAATTGAAAATCGCGAATTACTATTTGATTTCTTTTTTTAATAACGTAAAACGTGACTAAAACGAACTTCTATGACGCAAATTTCGTTTTAGTTTTATTTCCAAAACCAAGTGAGTTAAATGAACGTCAAAAAAATGTCATTTGAAAAAGTGAGGTTCGGTCAGTGTTGCCAACTCTACTAACTTTTCGGTAGATCGGTAAGAAATATCTACCAACTTTTTAAGATCTTTAAAAAAAGAAAAATTTTAATACCTTTTTTTTACCATTTGCTGTGTTTTTACCCTTTTATGATAAGCGAATCTAGTAGCATTGTAGATAATAAAGTAAGTTACAGGTTTCTGCAGTCTCTACCGACTTAACTTAACAAAAGCTGTCATTTTGTTATTTACTATTAAGAAACACAACTCTTCCTCTTACAATTGAGAAAAATATTAGAGTTGAAGACTTCTGGCATGATATTTGTCTAATGAAAAAAGGCGATGATACACAAACGTATCCTTTAAGCCAATTTGTGAGGAAATTACTTGCACTTCCACACAGCAGCAAATGTGGAAAGACTGTTTACTGTCGTTAATTTATTAAAAACTTGCAATAGAAACAAATTGTCCACTGATACATTGCAAGGACTGCTACATACAAAACGATTTATCAACTTACAAAAACAACCTACTAAAGACCACTATAAATTATTTAATCAAAGCATGTATTCTTTTAAAGAATTTACATTTACTTTTTTCTTAATTTTATTCTGAAAAACTGCAAGATCCTTGAGTAGGCAAATCAACTTAAATTAATATATAAATTCCCTATTTTAAAGTGAATAATTAAATAAAACTAATTATTTTTACATAAAATGAAACAAAATTTAGATATATTTATAGTTATCTAATATTACAAACAGTAAAATTATGCAACTTAAATTTCTCTGCTCTAGTGACGTCTAAAAGTAGTGAAACTACTACTTTCTATAGTGTGATTAATTGGAAACTACCAACTTTTAGAATCGTATCTACCTCCTAGACATATTTTGAGTTGGCAACGCTGGGTTAGGTTGTGTTGAGAAAGAGATTAAAGAGTTTTATCCACACTTATGAACCGTATAAAGTACCACTTTATCCACTAGTGGAATACAACAACCTTTACAACTTTCACACTTTTACAAATATGTTACAAATGGAGTTGATAAACAATCGAAAATAAATAGCAATACCTCCTAATGGTTTTTTAGTTAATTGCAATGATTTTTGAGGTGACAGCCGCTGTCAGAGTGAAATGTCAAATCATTTTTTGATGACATCAGATGAAATTTTGGCGATTCTGATTCTAAATGAGTGTGATTATGGATTGCATGTGCGTTTTAGATGCATTTTATTCACTTAAGAAAATTTTTTTTCATTTTCATCACATTTTTTAATCACTTTTACGGTTTGAGTGTCATATGTCAAGTTGGAAATGTTATTTTTATAGTTTAATTGTCGTGTGTCAAATAAGAAGTCATATATCAAGCTATAAATGTCACTTCTAAGGTTTAAACGTCTAACGTTAAGTAGGAATTGTCTCCTTTTATTCTTAAGATGTCTCTTCTTACACTAGAAATGTGAGTTTGAAATAAGAAATGTCACTTTTATGGCTTAAGTGTCACATGTCAAGTGGATATGTCATTTTTAAAGTAGAAACGCCATTTTCATAGTTTAATTGTCACATACCAAGTTAAAAATGTCATATTTTAATTAGAAATATCATTTTTATGGCTTGAGTATCATGTCAAGTTCGAAATGTCACTTTTATAGCTTAATTGTCGTGTGTCAAGTAAGAAATGTTATATGTCATTCTCTAAATGTCATTTCGAAGGTTTAAATGTCTAATGTGAAGTTGGAAATGGCTCATTTTATGCTTAGTGTCACATGTCATTTTTAAATTAAAAGCATCAGATTTATAGTTTGTCATTTTTATAGCTTAAATGTCATTCTTGCGTGAATAAAATGCTGCTCTAAAACACTTACACAATAAATAACTATTAATTTAATTAAACTAAAATTAATTACACCATGGTAACGGCAGGGAGAAAACTTAATAAAAAAAAATTTTTTTTTAAACGTCAAAATAAAATGTGACTTATAAAAGTTAGGTTAGTTTAAGAAAAACATTAATATAACCTTTTTAAAACGTTTATTTACTAAGTGAGTAAATAAACGTCATAATAAGTGTCATTTGAAAAAGTGAGGTTAGGTTGTGTTGCGAAAGAGATTAGAAATCATCATTTTGTAGCACAGCTTTAAACCAACACGGCCGTTTTCGAAGACATCGGCCGCCCCCGGGCGCTAAAACATTGAAAACCTAGAGTTAGATAAACATTTCGTGTTTTCGTGTTAGTTTAAAATTATGTTATTTTTGTTCATCTATCAGTTCGTCCCAACCTCACTTTTCCAAGTGACATTTTTTGACGTTTCATTAAAAAAAGTTTGTTTTACTCACTTAGTGCATCCTCGAAGATTTTCTTTCATATCACCGATTATTACATAGGAAGCCATTTCGCTTAAGACATCCACAAAAAATAAACGCCCACAAGATACGAAATATCCATCTACACAAGATCTCATTTTTTTAAGTGACATTTTTCACAATCCTTACTGCCCATTGAATAAGAAATAAAACTAAAACTAGAAATTTTGAGGTTATGCCGTGTGTCTTTGACTAGTTTTAGTTTTATTTCTAACGCAAAATGAACTAAATTCATTTTATTTTAATGAAACGTCAGAAAATGTCACTTGAAAAAGACGCTTAGGAGATAGCGCCATCTGTTGGAAAAAGTACGTTTGTAACTAACTTCTCGTCATGTCAAATATCTTACTTATAAAAGTTAGGTTAGGCGAAGAAAAATATTAAAATAACGTTTTAAAACGTATTAATACATTATTTAGTAATGATTTCGTCATAATTATTAGCCGTAAATTTTATTTTAATTTAATTAAACTAAAATTAATTACACCATGGTAACGGCAGGGCGAAAACTTAAAAAAAAAATTTTTTTTAAAACGTCAAAATAAAATGTCACTTATAAAAGTTAGGTTAGTTTAAGAAAAACATTAATATAACCTTTTTAAAACGTATTAATACTTTTTTTAGCAATGATTTGGTCTCAAGATCCAATCGATCTCTTCGATTGCCGCACTCGTTCTTGGTTCATCGACGCGGCGACATCCCCAAAAGACATTATAATCCTGGTGGATCGTTCGGGTTCAATGACGGGGATGCGACGCGAAATAGCACGACACGTCGTCAATAACATTCTCGATACGCTAGGAAATAACGATTTCGTTAACATCTACACGTTTAGTAACACCACGGAAGCCACCGTTGAGTGCTTCAACGACTCCCTCGTCCAAGCTAATTTAGCCAACGTTCGAGTGCTTAAAGAGAGTATGACCGGGTTTAAAACGGAACAAATCGCCAATTTTTCGTTGGCTTTAAACACGGCGTTTGAGTTGTTACAAAAGTATCGGGAAAATCAAATCGGTGAGATTTTAATTGATTTAATTAAATATTTTTGATTAATTTCGTTTTCTTTTAGGGGCAATGTGTAATCAGGCGATTATGTTAGTCACTGATGGTGTTCAATACAATTATAAAGAAATTTTTGAGAAATATAATTGGGATAATTTGCCGTTTATTCATGTGAGAGTTTTTACTTATTTGATTGGGAGGGAAGTTTCTGATGTTCGAGAGGTTAAATGGATGGCGTGTGCTAATCGGGGTTATTTCGTGCATTTAAGTACTTATGCTGAAGTTAGAGAGGAAGTAAGTTGGGTAAAATCGGATTATTTCATTTTTTAATTTGTTATTTATCATTAGGTGTTGCAATATATTCCGGTTATGGCACGCCCTATGGTTTTAAATCCTAAGCATCGCCCCGTACCAACTTGGTCCCCCGTTTATGCGGATGTAACTGATCCCAAATTGACGAATTGGTTGTGGGTGACTCGAGAAAAAAATTTGCAAAGGGAACAATTTCGTACCCGGACGTTGTTAAAGTCGGATGAGAAGGATAAATTGTATGTGCATCAACAAAAAAAGGTAAAAATGTAACTTATTTATGTGTTGGAATCGAATTTGATTAAGTGAGGTTAAGTTACCTTATTAGAGGTTGCATCGTAATTAAATTTAAAGAATTTCCTTTTCAATTTTCGAATTATCACCAACGAAGACGTCGTTGCAGCTGGAAAATGTTAAAAATCGATTTAATTAAAAATTAACCTAAAAATTTGGATCAATTTGATTTTTGTTATAAATTAATTCCTACCGATAAATTTTTTGGTAAACTCGTTAATATCACTTTTTCTTTATCAGAACTAAAGAATTAATTAAAAAAATTACCTTAAAAGTGCAATTATTAGTTTAAATCGCCCAAAAAAAAACGTTTTGAGGTTTTGTTTTGGTGTTAGGTTAGCAACAAATTAAAATGGCGTAATTAACGTGAAGTTGAAAAAAAATTTTAAACTTATTTTAAGTGTATTTTTAGAATCCTTTTTAATTTTTGATTGTTTATTTTATTAATTGTTATTAAATCAAAAAAGTGGTTCATTAGGATCAAAAATTAAATTAAAAAATTATTTTTATTAATTAATTTTTGACATCCGGTGTGAAGTTAAAATGTGTCAAATGACAAAATATAAATTTTTATATTATTATAATTAATTGATAGTTTTAACATCATAATAGTTTTCAACCTCATTTTCTAGCACAATTTTAAACCAACACGGCCGTTTTCGAAGACATCGGCTGCTAAAACATTGAAAACCTTTCTACTCGTATTTGCGAGAATGAACATTTCGTGTATTCGGGGGGCGGCCGATGTCTTCTAAAACGGCCGTGTTTGTTTAAAATTGTGCTGGAAAATGTGTTATTTTTGTTTATCCCAACCTCACTTTTCCAATTCAACCGAACCTCACTTTTCCAAATGACATTTCATTAAAAAAAAGCTTATTTTACTCACTTAGTGCATTCTCAAAGATTTTCTTCGCTTGAAACAGCCACAAAAAGTCAAAGACGCACGGCATAACCCTAAAATTTCTAGTTTTAGTTTTATTTTTAACGCAAAATGAGCTAAATACATTTTTTTTAATGAAACGATGTATAGGAGATAGCGCCATCTGTTGGAAAAAGTACGTTTATAACTAACTTCTCGTTATGTCAAATATTTTAACGTAATTTAAAACCACGATTACTATTTGATTCCTTTTTTTAATAACGTAAAACGTGACTAAAACGAACTTTTATGACGCAAATTTCGTTTTAATTTTATTTCTAAAATTAAGTGGGTTAAATAAAATGTTTTTAAAGAAACGTCAAAAAAATGTCAATTGAAAAAGTGTGGTGATTTCTTTGTTAAACTCAAAAAAATTTAATATATTTTTAGAATTCTTTTTAATTTTTGATTATTTATTTAACTAATTGATGTCGAATCAAAAAAATATTTCATTATTATTAAAAATTAAATTAAAAAATTATTTTTGTTAAATTAGGTTGGCAATATTTTGACATTACCGACGTGAAGTTAAAAATGTGTCAAATGTCAAAATATAAATTTCTATATTATTATAATTAATTAATAATTTCTTTTAATTAGAAACAAGATAATTATGGGGAGTTGCAAAAATATCATCTGATGACTTCGGTTTCTTTGCCGGTTTACGATTTACGACCGAACGCAGTAAGTATCATTGTTTTTTGTTATGATCAATGGAAATTGGAACATTTTAATTTATTTAAAGACAAGGAAATGATTGTGTTTTGACGATTGTGTTTCTACAGAACATTACAGAACAAATACAAATAAACGAAGCTGTATGGATAACGGTAACTAAAGAGGTAACGAAAATAATAAAGGATTTGATGAAACTCTACGAGAAGTAACCGAAAATTAGTGCTAACGTTAAAAATGGGCGAACAATAGAATATATTTTAGATGATTTTACATAGAAAATAAATATTTTAGAGAGAAAAATATAATTAGAAAGTATTTCGTATCTTTGTTTTAATTTATTCTACAGGGTGTTGGTTAATTAGAACCCGTGAGTGCATATTGGAGGTGCTAAAATAGAGCTAGATTAACACTTAGATTACTTTTAGATTCGAATTAGCGTATTTTCATTGTTTAAAATCGAATTAGATTTAAATCAATTCATTCGAAATCGACTAATTATTGTTAATTATGTTTCAGACGCGCGTAGCTAATTTATTGGGAGTAGCCGGAACCGATGTCCCAATCGAGTACATTCGGAAACTCATCAAGCATCACCGAGTAATTAAATTAATTCATTATTTAATTATTTATTAACAAATTAATTAATATTTTTAGATTGGCGTAAATGGATACGCTTTTTTAGTCACTAATAATGGGTATATTTTGATTCATCCCGATTTAAGACCCGTTGTAAGTAAATATAACCTAAAACTGTCTCATAACCTAAAACTGTCTCATAACCTAAAACTGTCACATAACCTATAAATGTCAAAACAGTAAAAACATAACCTAAAACTAAACCTCAAAAATCAATGTATGCAGCAAGCGAGTTGTAGTTCCTGTATTTTGTGCTCCAAAAACATCGATATTTCTGTCCCGTGGTAATACCCAAGCTAATAATAAAACCTTCCGTATCACGAATGAACATACTTACTCATCAAATGATTGGTTTACAATCAGTAGCAATGAATGATAACTGATAACATATTGAAAGTAATGACCAGGAACGTTAGAAGCTTAGTAAGGAACAAAGCTAGCCTTTATGGTTACTTAAAAGATAACCCACAGGATGTTATCATAATCTGCGAAACTTGATTGAACAATAATATATAATATAAAACAAGACCAGACGGCTATGAAGTACTGTCAATCCTCATTAAGAAACATTTAAAATTCGAAAATATAGATATACAGGAACCAGTTGCAAATACCCACTTTATTGTTATCAAAATATTTTACATAACAATAATTGTAGGTTATATTATTAGACTGGAGAGAACTACGTCGAGAAATTGAATTTACAGTTTCCTGTAAATTATAACTAAAAAAGAATATTTTTGATATTTGAAACAAATACATTTGTTGAACTATTTAATTCATATTTGTTTTACACAAAAGTTGAAATAGATTGCATTATTTCACATTTTTTATTAATATTTAATATTATTAAATGACTTAATGAATTATTGATAGATGTATTCAAAAATTTTCTGAAGTGTCAAATTAAAAATCCTGTTTTTTAAGATGGATTACGAAAAGTTTAACGTGTTAGAATGTTACATATTAGAAAATAAAGTAAATTTTAAATAAATTTTTAGTTATAATACCGTAATTTACAGGAAACTGTAAATTTAATTTCTTTGACGACACTAAAAAAAAGTTATTTTTAGCTTTATTATCGTATTGACTTTATTTTTTGGAGTTAAGAAACAATTTATATTGCAAATTGAAGATAAAAGATGATATTTTGAGATGTGATATAAAAATAATAACGTTAATAATAAAAAAAAATTGAGAAAAAAGGTGTTAAAAAAAATTAAGTTGGGTTATGTTCGAAAACGTCAAAATTAAAAAAATCGTATTGACTTCATTTTTTGGAGTTAAAAAATGATTTATGTCGCAAATTGAAGATAAAAGATGATATTTTGAGATGTGATATAAAAATAATAACGTTAATAATAAAAAAAATTGAGAAAGAAGGTGTTAAAGAAAATTAAGTTAGGTTAGGTTATGTTCGAAAACGTCAAAATTAAAAAAATCGTATTGACTTCATTTTTTGAAGTTAAGAAACGATTTATATCGCAAATTGAAGATAAAAGATGATATTTTGAGATGTGATATAAAAATAATAACGTTAATAATAAAAAATTTTGAGAAAAAAGGTGTTAAAGAAAATTAAGTTGGGTTAGGTTATGTTCGAAAACGTCAAAATTAAAAAAATCGTATTGACTTCATTTTTTGGAATTAAGAAACGATTTATATCGCAAATTGAAGATAAAAGATGATATTTTGAGATGTGATATAAAAATAATAACGTTAATAATAAAAAATTTTGAGAAAAAAGGTGTTAAAGAAAATTAAGTTGGGTTAGGTTGTGCCAAAACGTTTAGCTTCACTTACCTTTTCATTTTGGGTTAATTGAGAGCGCCGAATCTTAATTTGGTGATTCCTTTTTCGCGAAATTGGTGATAAAACGCGATTTTCACTTAAATTCAAACGCCACCTGTCAAAATGAATTTCTTTTTAATACTAACGCCCTCTTTTATTTAGCGTCAAAATTAATCGAAAATAATTTATTAAAAAATTATATTATTTAAGTTATTACTATTTTTTCATTACTTATTAGTTCATAAACAATTTTAAAAAGAACAACTTATTTTGTTTAAATTAATTTGAAATATCTTTAGATCGATGATAAAAAATAGGTTATGTTGTTTCTTTTTGAAATCGTAAAATTTACGCGATAAAAAAACGTTTAGATTCACTTACCTTTTCATTGTGGGTTAATTGAGGCGCCGAATCTTAATTTGATGATCCCTTTTTCGCGAAATTGGTGATAAAATGCGATTTTCACTTAAATTCAAACGCCACCTGTCAAAATAAAATTCTTTTTACTACTAACGCCCTCTTTTATTTAGCGTCGAAATTAATCGAAAAAGATTTATTAAAAAAATTATGTTATTTAAGTTATTAATATTTTTTCATTACTTATTAGTTCATAAACGATTTTAAAAACAACAACTTATTTTGTTTAAATAAATTTGAAATATCTTTAGATCGACGATAAAAAATAGGTTATGTTGTTTCTTTTTGAAATCGTAAACTTTACGCGATAAAAAAAAACGTTTAGATTCACTTACTTTTTCATTTTGGGTTAATTGAGGGCGGCGAATCTTAATTTGGTGATCCCTTTTTCGCAAAATTGGTGATAAAACGCGATTTTCACTTAAATTCAAACGCCACCTGTCAAAATGAATTTCTTTTTAATAGTAACGCCCTCTTTTATTTAACGCCGGAACTAATCGATAATAATTTATTAAAAAAAATAAGTTATTTAAATTATAAATATTTCTTCATTACTTATTACTTCATAAACGATTTTAAAAACAACAACTTGTTTTGTTTAAATAAATTTGAAATATCTTTAGATCGACGATAAAAAATAGCTTATGTCATTCCTTTTTGAAATCGTAAAATTTACGCGATAAAAAAACGTTTAGATTCACTTACCTTTACATTTTGGGATAATCGAGAGCGCCGAATCTTAATTTGGTGATCCCTTTTTCGCGAAATTGGTTATAAAACGCAATTTTCACTTAAATTCAAACGTCACCTGTCAAAATGAATTTCGTTTTAATACTAGCGCCCTCTTTTATTTAGCGTCGAAATTAATCGAAAATAATTTATTAAAAAAATTATGTTATTTGTTATTAATATTTTTTCATTACTTATTAGTTGATAAACAATTTTAAAAACAACAACTTATTTTGTTTAAATAAATTTGAAATATCTTTAGATCGACGATAAAAAATAGGTTGTTGTTTCTTTTTGAAATCGTAAAATTTACGCGATAAAAAATCGGTTAGATTCACTTACCTTTTCATTTTGCGTTAATTGAGAGCGCCGAATCTTAATTTGGTGATCCCTTTTTCGCAAAATTGGTGATAAAACGCGATTTTCACTTAAATTCAAACGCCACCTGTCAAAATGAATTTCTTTNTATTTTGAGATGTAATATAAAAATAATAACGTTAATAATACAAAATTTTGAGAAAAAAGGTGTTAAAGAAAATTAAGTTGGGTTATGTTCGAAAACGTCAAAATTAAAAAAATCGTATTGACTTCATTTTTTGAAGTTAAGAAACGATTTATATCGCAAAATGAAGACAAAAGATGATATTTTGAGATGTGATATAAAAATAATAACGTTAATAATGAAAAATTTTGAGAAAAAAGGTGTTAAAGAAAATTAAGTTGGGCGAAATTAAATTTACAGTTTCCTGTAATTATAAGTAAAAAAAAAAATATTTCTGATATTTGAAACAAATACATTTGTTGAACTGTTTAATTTATATTCATCTCAAAATATCATCTTTTATCTTCATTTTGTGATATAAATCGTTTCTTAACTCCAAAAAATAAAGTCATTACGATTCTTTTTATTTTGACGTTTTGGCACAACCTAACCCAACTTAATTTTCTTTACCACCTTCTTTCTGAAATTTTTTTATTATTAACGTCATTATTTTTATATCACATCTCAAAATATCATCAATTTGCGATATAAATCGTTTTTTAACTCAAAAAAATAAAGTCAATACGATAATAAAGCTAAAAATAGCTTCTTTTAGTGTCGTCAAAGAAATTAAATTTACAGTTTCCTGTAAATTATGTCATATATTCATAAATTGTCAAACCACGGGACAGTTCGATGAAGCTGAAGAAGGAAGATGTGGTGTAATAGGAAGCGGAGTGGAGAATGATATGAACGGAAGTTCGAACTTCAAAACCCTACCAGTAGAAAAAAAATAACCCAAAACCTATAAATGTCAAAACAATAAAAACATAACCTAAAACTGTCACATAACCTATAAATGTCAAAGTCAAAAAATTTTTTTTAGTTTCAAGGTATTTTAAAACCTGCTTATAACCGAGTTGATGTAACGGAAATTGAAATAATGAATGATGATGCGGAGCCGAGAGATTTTAGTGAAGAAATTTTGAAATTACGAAATGAGGTGACAATGCAAATTAATGGGACGGCTATTCTCGATATGAAAATGCACCTTGATAACATGGTAAGTTAATTAATTAATTAATTACCAAAAAAATTAATTAAAATAATTATTTTTTTAGAAAAGAATAATGATGGGGAAACGATACTATCATTACATGCCCATAAATAACACCCCGTTCAGCTTAGTGTTATCGTTCCCTGATAAATACGGATTTTATCAAGGTGGGAGCCCCCTAGAGTTTGATATCCACCGGTTGAGACCTCTCGTTAATATAAGCGCGTTCGTTCGGGAGTGTTTAAAAGATAATTGGACGGTGCATCCGGAATGGTTAATATTAAATCATAAATTAATTGAATTAGAGAGATGAGAAAAAATTTTTTTAGGAATTATTGTAACCTGGGAAAATCGAAAGCTGAGAATATCACGGAGGAAATCCACAAAGCGTTTATGGAGATTGAAAAACCTGGTTGGAAATGGTCCGATGAGTGTAAATTGAATCAAATTAGATTTAAAAAATTGATTTTAATGATTATTTCATTTAAAGGCGATAGGAAATTGATGTGTTCTTTAGTAACCGATGCGAACATCACGTTTTGGTTCTACGACAACATCAACTTAACGAATAAACAAACAGATGGGTAAGTAATTCGAAACAAATCCGATTTATTCATATAAATCAGATTAATTTTCTTTATAAAGACCGATAGCTATGTTGATGTCGTTGCTACCCAGGTAAACTAAAATCTTTATTTAAGGATTAATTTCTTAGATTAAATCAGACGCCCAAGAGTAAGTTGTTCCCAGCGACTTTTAAAGGACTTTTTAATTAAAATAAGCCCCTTTTTAAAAATTAATCCAATTTTTTTGTCATTTAGGCACGAATTGATCAAAAGATTCGGGATAACCGTCGTTTTTATCGCGACTCAAAGCGGGTTAACGAGATGGCAAGAGTTTCCACAAAACATCGATGAGCGGCTTAAAGATGAACCGTTAAGTTCAATAAATCAAAAAATGAATTTAATAAATCAATAAATTGATTTGTAGGAAATTTCATCAACTCCACGATAAAGCAATCGATGAGGTTTGGTATCGAAGAGCCGTCGAGCATTATTACATCGACCCAAAAAGCTTCGTTTACTCAGTTCCTTTCGATGTTGGTACGAAAAAAACGAAAATTAATTAATTTAGATTCTTAATAATGCAATTTTAGACGTAGACGATGAAAATAAAACCTTAGTAACGGCAAGTCACGCAATTTTTCGCGAGGATGGTTCAAAAAAGACTCCCGTAGCTGTGGTGGGGTTCCAATTTTATTACACAGCGCTTCAAGAACATTTCATGAAAACGACGTCGAATGTATCATTAATTTTTTTTCTAAATTAATCAAATTAATTAAATTATTTTTTAGTGTGGAAATGGTTGTAAAAGGACGTGCACTTCCGGGGAATTACTTTGTTTATTGCTCGATGATAACGGGTATATTGTGGCTGCGTATAAGCCGAAATCGAACGAGGATAAGCAACCACAAATTGGAACGTTTTTCGGCGATTTTCGGCCGGATATTATGCAACAATTGGTGAAGGAGAAAATTTATAAGGCGCATAAAATGTATGATTATCAAGCGACGTGTTTTCCGACGATTTCAACTGGAAATCCGGCTACTAAATTATTTACGGTAAAAGTTTAATGACTAATTTTAGGATTATATTAGTCTGGAATTAATCTCAAAATTTGGAGTTGTAACCAGACTAAAAGAAAGTCTGGAATTACATTGAGAAGATTTTAGATTAGAAGAAAAACAGGATTTTGAGCAATAAGATGAAGAAAAAACAAGCACAATTATAATGGATAAATGACATACTGGAAGAAATAGCTTGGGAGTTATTTGAGACTGGAATTATACTGGTTAAGCAACCAAGTAGCATGAAGAAGTAAAATCAAGATTGTTTCCTCAACTCCCTGAAAAAGAATTTAAAACGGCTAGAAAAATTCTAAAATGACATCGAGAGTATTTTGAACTGCAAGATGATGTTTGTAATTACTTAGGCAAGAAGAAGTCTAGAATTGCAATAATAAGATTAAATACTGCATTAAGAAGCATATATTTATGATAAACAAAATTTTATTTGCTGCTATAAACAAAAAAGAATGCTATTCTTTCATATTTGATGTATTAGAGATGATGAGAAATCTGCTAGAAATTGCTTAAAGATTCTGCTCAACCCAAAATTTGCAAAAAATCATGGAAATTACTGTTTATAAGTGATGACGAATACGATGCGGTGCAAACTAAGTTGATCAGAAATTCTGTCCAAGCAAAAAAATGCAAAAATCCCATAGAAATCGGGTTTCCCAAGTAAATGGGAAGTGCCCAAGGATTTTTTTTTATATTTAATGTATTAAAGATTATGAGAAATCTGCTGCAATTCAAAATTAAATTGATTAAAGATTCTGCTCAATCTAATATTTGCAAAAAATCATAGAAATTACTATTTATAAGTGATAACGAATACGATGTGGTGCAAACTAAGTTGATCAGATATTCTGTCCAAGCAAAAAAATGCAAAACTCTAATAGAAATCGGATTTCCCAACCAAATGGGAAGTGCCTAAGGATTTTTTTATATTTAATGTATTAGAGATGATGAGATATCTGCTGCAATTCAAAATTAAATTGATTAAAGATTCTGCTCACTCCAAAATTTGCAAAAAAATCATAGAAAACTAGTTATGTAATGAAGTAGAACATGTCAGAAGTGTTTTTTGAATTATTTGGTGTTTTAGACATGATGAGAAATCTGCTGCAACTCAAATTAAACTGATTAAAAATTCTGCTCAACCCAAAATTTGCAAAAAATCTTGGAAATTACTGTTTATAAGTGATGACGAATACGATGCGGTGCAAACTAAGTTGATCAGAAATTCTGTCTAAGCAAAAAAATGCAAAAATCCAATAGAAATTGGGTTTCCCAAGTAAATGGGAAGTGCCTAAGGATTTTTTTTATATTTAATGTATTAGAGATGATGAGAAATCTGCTGCAATTCAAAATTAAATTGATTAAAGATTCTGCTCAATCTAACATTTGCAAAAAAATAGTGGAATACTAATTTTGTAATGAAGTAGAACATGTCAGAAGTGTTTTTTGAATTATTTGGTGTTTTAGACATGATGAGAAATCTGCTGCAACTCAAATTAAACTGATTAAACCCAAAATTTGCAAAAAATCATGGAAATTACTATTTATAAGCAATGACGAATATGATGGAGTGCAAACTAAGTTGATCAGATACTCTGTCCAAGCAAAAAAAATGCAAAAATCCAATAGAAATCGGATTTCCCAACCAAATGGGAAGTGCCTAAGGATTTTTTTATATTTAATGTATTAGAGATGATGAGAAATCTGCTGCAATTCAAAATTAAATTGATTAAAGATTCTGCTCACTCCAAAATTTGCAAAAAATCATTGAAAACTAGTTTTGTAATGAAGTAGACATATCAGAAGTGTTTTTTGAATTATTTGGTATTTTGGACATGACGAGAAATCTGCTGCAACTCAAATTAAACTGATTAAAGATTCTGCTCAACCCAAAATTTGCAAAAAGTCATGGAAATTACTACTTATAAGTGATAACGAATACGATGTGGTGCAAACTAAGTTGATCAGATATTCCGTCCAAGCAAAAAAATGCAAAAATCCTATACAAATCGGATTTCCCAAGTAAATGGGAAGTGCCCAAGGATTTTTTTATATTTAATGCATTAGAGATGACGAGAAATCTGCTGCGATTCAAAATTAAATTGATTAAAGTTTCTGCTCACTCCAAAATTTGCAAAAAATCATTGAAAACTAGTTTTGTAATGAAGTAGGAAATGGCAGAAGTATCTTCTTCGATATTTGCTGTTTTAAATATGATGAGAAATCTGCGGCAACTCAAATTAAACTGATTAAAGATTCTGCTCAACCTAAAATTTGCAAAAAATCATGGAAATTACTGTTTATAAGTGATGACGAATACGATATGGTGCAAACCAAGTTGATCAGAAATTCTGTCCAAGCAAAAAAATGCAAAAATCCAATAGAAATCGGGTTTTCCAAGTAAATGGGAAGCGCCCAAGGATTTTTTTTATATTTAATGTATTAGAGATGACGAGAAATCTGCTGTATTTCAAAATTAAATTGCTTAAAGATTCTGCTCACTCCAAAATTTGCAAAAAATCGTGGAAAACTAGTTTTATAATGAAGTAGAACATGTCAGAAGTGTTTTTTGAATTATTTGGTGTTTTAAATATGATGAGAAATCTGCTGCAACTCAAATTAAACTGATTAAAGATTCTGCTCAACCTAAAATTTGCAAAAAATCATGGAAATTACTGTTTATAAGTGATGACGAATACGATGCGGTGCAAACTAAGTTGATCAGAAATTCTGTCCAAGCAAAAAAATGCAAAAATCCCATAGAAATCGGATTTCCCAACCTAATGCGAAGTGCCTAAGGATTTTTTTTATATTTAAAGTATTAGAGATGATGAGAAATCTGCTGTATTTCAAAATTAAATTGCTTAAAGATTCTGCTCACTCCAAAATTTGCAAAAAAATCGTGAAAAACTAGTACCCTTAAAATTCACTAAAGAATCACCCTTGAGGTTTGTTGCAGTCATTCAGATACACCCTGTATATAGTCCAGAAGTACTCTAGTTAGTTTCTGGACTTCAAAAACAAGACTGGAATCACAACGACGAAGCACCAAGCAACAAGATAAAGTTTATTACATCTGTTATTATTTTGACAACTCCTCAGACGTTATAGAGAAGTCTGGAATTTCACTAATAATATTGGAAACTGCATAAAGAAGGCTGTAATTCTACTAACAAAACTCTAAAGTTTGAGAAAACCATGAAATTATACTAGGCAGGTGTCATACTGCAGAAAATAGTCTAGGATTACTCTAGTTATTCTTTGAACTTGAAGAACAATACTGGAATTAAGCTAGGAATTATGCTAAGACTCTAAGAGAAATCTCCAAACTTCAAGAACAAGATTGGAATTAGAACGACGAGACACTAAGATGCAAAAAAAGTTTGGAATTACAGTAACCAGACTCATATCTCATCTTTTTTATCATAAAAGATAGGCCATTAGCATTTTTTTTGACACCATGAGGATGAATCTCTCTGGGTAGAAGTTTAAAAAACATTTTCTATGTTATTTCTTTATCAAATTTATTTAAATCAAGATATAAATCTAATTCTTAATTTTTTCTTTTTCAGCCATTAACCCATTTCACAACCCTCCTTCAATACTTCCTCAATTTAGTCCTATTTTTTACAAAATCAATTTACACCGATGAATTGGACACAGGATACTCAAATGAAGAGTCTGAAGACGATCAAAGATCATCAGAAAACGATTACCGCGCCTTATTAATCAACAAAACCAAGCCAGAACCTTGCGACACAAAAATGTGGCTCTACACGTTGATCCATTACAACGACAAAAACGTCAGCGAGAGTGGTTATAACAAAGAAAACATGTCGGAAGATTGTTCTCGTCCTTTTTTGGTGGAACCAGTTGGTTATAGCAACTTAATTTTTTTGGTCGTTAGCCAAATATGTGACCAAAAAATGTATGAGTCTAAATCGGACGAAAGTGAGATGGAGGAGGAGGAGGAGGAGGTTCCTCAAAATCCATATCCTGTCGAGGTTTATTATGATAATGTCACATTGTCGTGTTATAAAGTTTTGTATAATGATTTTCCAAGGAGGCAATATATGAGTTGTATTAATGAGAGCAAAGAGGTAAAATTAATTAATTATTTTAATTTTGATTTAATTCTTTTTGTTTTAGGAGAAGGAAATTAGATTATGTGGGAATGGATCAAAACTTACTCACATCCCATGGTTTTTTCTCTACATCTCTTTAATCCTATTAATTATAGATTATTAATTTGATATTAAAAAAAATTTGAAAAAAAAAATATATATATATACTGTGATACGCATGAAAATTAAATTAAATTAAAAAAATAATACTTAATCATATCATTAAATTAATTAATTAATTAACTGCTAACATTGTTGTTTAAATCCTCCTCTTATTAATTATTATTTTGAAATAAAAATAAAAACTCACTTTTTTTGTTTATAATAATCGTCCTTTACATTCGCTGGTGCCGCAAAAACAATACAAAACCTTTCCAGGGACGCTCCCAATGTCATAGTTATAATTCCAAGTTAATTCTTGACCCGCTCTGACGTACCCCATCGTGAAAAAGGCCACCCAAGGGAATCTCGGGTCGTGGGTGTCGACGAAAACGTTTTGAACGAAAATATTTGGAGCGCAAGAATGCTAAAAAATATATATTAATAATAAATAAAGTTAATTTTAATTTATAATTACATTTAAAAATCGTCCTATGTTTCCTGTACTTTTAGCATCCATGATATAAACGGTTTCTTCTTCGCCGTGAAGTTCTCTCACGGATTTATACTTTCTTGAATCTTTATCATCGACCTCTCCCATTGGGTTAAAACTGGAGGGTTCTCTTGGAGCTAAAACAATTTTATTTATTAATGTGTTAAAACATGCTTTTTTTAATATTAGAATAATGAGAAATCTTAAAATTTGATAAAAAATCATAAAAAAGGTAATTTTGTAATGAAATACGATATTGCAGAAATATTTTTTGAATTATTTCGTGTTTTAGACATGATGAGGAATCTGCTGCAGCTCAAATTAGACTGATTAAAGATTCTGGTCAACCCAAAATTTGCTAAAAATTATGGAAAAATTAATTTTGTAATGAAATAGAACATGCCAGAAGTATTTTTTGTATTATTTGGTGTTTTAGACATGATGAGGAATCTGTTCTAGCTCAAATTAAACTGATTAAAGATTCTGGTCAACCTAAAATTTGCTAAAAATTATGGAAAAACTAATTTTGTAATGAAATAGAACATGCCAGAAGTATTTTTTTGTATTATTTGGTGTTTTAGACATGATGAGGAATCTGTTCTAGCTCAAATAAAACTGATTAAAGATTCTTATCAACCCAAATTTGCTAAAAAATCATAGAAAAGGTAATTTTGTAATGAAATAGGATATTGCAGAAGTATTTTTTGAATTATTTGGTGTTTTAGACATGATGAGGAATCTGCTGCAGTTCAAATTAAACTGATTAAAGACTCTGGTCAACCTAAAATTTGTTAAAAATCATGGAAAACTAATTTTGTAATGAAATAGAACATGCCAGAAGTATTTTTTTGTGTTTTAGACATGATGAGGAATCTGTTCTAGCTCAAATAAAACTGATTAAAGATTCTTATCAACCCAAAATTTGCTAAAAAATCATAGAAAACCAAATTTTGTAATGAAATAGGATATTGCAGAATTTTTTTTTGAATTATTTGGTGTTTTAGATTAGATGAGGAATCTGCTCTTGCTCAAATTAAACTGATTAAAGATTCTGGTGAACCTAAAATTTGTTAAAAATCATGGAAAACTAGTTTTGAGATGAAATGGAACATGCCAGAAGTATTTTTTTGTATTATTTGGTGTTTTAGACATGATGAGGAACCCGTTCTAGCTTAAATAAAACTGATTAAAGATTCTTATTAATCCAAAATTTACTAAAAAATCATAGAAAAGTTAATTTTGTAATAAAATAGGATATTGCAGAAATATATTTTGAATTATTTAGTGTTTTAGACATGATGAGAAATCTGCTACAGTTCATATTAGACTGATTAAAGATTCTGGTCAACCCAAAATTTGCTAAAAATTATGGAAAAACTAATTTTGTAATGAAATAGAACATGCCAGAAGTATTTTTTTGTATTATTTGGTATTTTAGACATGATGAGGAATCTGTTCTTGCTCAAATAAAACTTATTAAAGATTCTTATCAACCCAAAATTTGCTAAAAAATCATAGAAAACCTAATTTTATAATGAAATAGGATATTGCAGAAGTATTTTTTTGAATTATTTGATGTTTTAGACATGATGAGGAATCTGCTGCAGCTCAAATTAAACTGATTAAAGATTCTGGTCAACCCAAAATTTGCTAAAAATCATAGAAAAGCTAATTTTATAATGAAATAGGATATTGCAGAAATATTTTTTGTATTATTTGGTGTTTTAGACATGATGAGAAATCTGTTGTAGCTCAAATTATACTGATTAAAGATTCTGATCAACCCAAAATTTGCAAAAAAAAACAGGAAAATTAGTTTTGTAATGAAATAGAATATGGTAGGCGTATTTTTGTATTATTTGGTGTTTTAGACAAAATGAGGAATCTGTTCTAGCTCAAATAAAACTGATTAAAGATTCTTATCAACCCAAATTTGCTAAAAAATCATAGAAAAGCTAATTTTGTAATGAAATGGGATATTGCAGAAATATTCTTTGAATTATTTATTGTTTTAGACATGATGAGAAATCTGCTACAGCTCAAATTAAACCGATTAAAGATTCTGGTCAACCTAAAATTTGTTAAAAATCATGGAAAACTAGTTTTGTGATGAAATAGAACATGCCAGAAGTATTTTTTGTATTATTTGGTGTTTTAGACATGATTAGGAATTTGTTCTAGCTCAAATAAAACTGATTAAAGATTCTTATCAACCCAAAATTTGCTAAAAAATCATAGAAAAGCTAATTTTGTAATGAAATAGGATATTGCAGAAATATTTTTTTAATTATTTAGTGTTTTAGACATGATGAGAAATCTGCTACAGTTCAAATTAGACTGATTAAAGATTCTGGTCAACCTAAAATTTGTTAAAAAATCATGGAAAACTAGTTTTGAGATGAAATGGAACATGCCAGAAGTATTTTTTTGTATTATTTGGTGTTTTAGACATGATGAGGAACCCGTTCTAGCTTAAATAAAACTGATTAAAGATTCTTATCAACCCAAATTTGCTAAAAAATCATAGAAAAGGTAATTTTATAATGAAATAGGATATTGCAGAAGTATTTTTTGAATTATTTGGTGTTTTAGACATGATGAGGAATCTGCTGCAGTTCAAATTATACTGATTAAAGATTCTGATCAACCCAAAATTTGCTAAAAAATCATACAAAAGGTAATTTTATAATGAAATAGGATATTGCAGAAATATTTTTTGTATTATTTGGTGTTTTAAACATGATGAGAAATCTGTCGTAGCTCAAATTATACTGATTAAAGATTCTGGTCAACCCAAAATTTGCTAAAAATTATGTAAAAACTAATTTTGTAATGAAATAGAACATGCCAGAAGTATTTTTTTGTATTATTTGGTGTTTTAGACATGATGAGGAATTTGTTCTAGCTCAAATAAAACTGATTAAAGATACTGGTCAACCCAAAATTTGCAAAAAAAATCAGGAAAATTAGTTTTGTAATGAAATAGAATATGGTAGAAGTATTTTTTGTATTATTTGGAGTTTTAGACATGGTGAGAAATCTACTGCTGTTTAATTTAATAGAATTCAATACTAGCAGATGGCGCTGATATAAAAAATAACATTTTTGAGATTATCTCAATAACGATTGATTATATCAAAAAAAGTTTCAAATAATTTTTGATTAGAATTAAATTAGCAACAATTTTTATTTGAAAATTTTTTTAATATTCTTGCTAGGTGGCGCTGTGTACTCGTATGAGAATTTAATTTCCCTCTGAATAGTACGGAAAGAACATCAAGGTATTCTATAACACTTATTATTATTGTTATTTATCCAATATATGACTTAAAATCGTTCGGATCGTAATTTCAATACCACCACTAGATGTCGCTGACATAAAAAAATCATATTTTTGAGGTTATCTCAATAACGAGTGATTATATCAAAAAAAGTTTCAAATAATTTTTGATTAGAATCAAATTAGTAACAATTTTTATTTGAGAATTTTTTTAATATTTTTGCTAGATGGCGCTGTGTACTCGTATAAAGATTTAATTTCCCTCTGAACAGTATGGTACTAATACTACTTTCTACTTACGATAATCCTCATCATCGCTGATCATCACCGTATCATCATCATCAAGAATTCCAATTTTGATAACATCCTTTTCCGCTTTCTTCTCCTGTAATAAATTAGCTTCAATATTTCGTTTCCTCAACCTCGATCGGATCCCCGTTTCGTGATCATCGATACTAAAACCATGTCTTCTCCTCGGAACGGTGCGAGATGGGACAAAATCGCGATCTTCTCGATTCGTAACAATTTCCTCAAAATCATCAACAACCTCTTCGTTATCGGAAGGTTCCTCAACAACCCTCTCCTTTTTAATTTCATCCCGATATGGATCCTCCTCGTAATCTTCTTTCGTTCTTTCAGCGGTTTCGATAAAATCTAATTCGGCCAAGTATTCATCCCCGTAAGATTTCCCATCTAAATTCGCCATTTCTTCGGTTAAAAGTGATCCCGCATAAATACACACGAATGAACCTTCCGGGATATCACTCAAAGATCGGATTCCCCACCCCCTTGAGTCAGTTTTAAAAACTTGTAACTTATGTTGCATTGGGTTTTGAACGACCCGATTCAAACAGGTGTGTCTACAATGACAACGACTATTACATTCGTAAATTCCGGAGAAAATCGGTTCGAGAAGTCTCCGGTATTGGTACCCGACGGATTTTGGATCGGTTCCTTTTTCCATGTATTTCAAACATTGTAAGGTTAATTGCCAACACGCACATTTCGAGCGATCCAAACAATCATCGGTGCAATCGCAACACACCAAAAAATTCGGGTCCAAATTTAAATCGACACCCACCATCGGTTGACGTTTCGTGGTGTAATTGCAAAAGTCTAAAAGTGATTTATCAACGTAGTTACAAACGGTTATGGGACACTGCTCGAGTCCGTTTGATAAATCTTTATTTTGAATACTTTTGCTTTCCACCATGAACTCGGCCAAACAACGGACGTAGATGTGGAAGTCGAATAAATCTATGGTGAGTTCGGAGCGGGTTAATTGGAGGTATCGGTGAACTTCCGCTATATTTCGGAGGGTACGACCGCAAGGCGCGCGGTATATGACGAAATTAAGTTTGTGTTTAACTTTGTAAAGGAGGCGATAAAATCCGCAAAGGAGAGGTTTTGCGAGCGGGCTGTATCCTTTCATACGAGTTAACGGGCAATACATGTAAGTTCGACAATCTGGGCTGCAATTATGTGGGATAAAAGTGTTGGTTTTTGGTTTTTGACGACGTGGGGTGTAATACTAAAAAAGAAAATAATGTATTAACATCCTAACTCAACTTAATCAAAAAAAAAACCAACCACTATCTTCGTCGTTGGAGTTTCTTGTTCTGGAACAACAACACTCGAAGAATTACTTGAAATCGATTTGGCAGTACTTTTTCTAGCGACAGATCGTTGTTCGTGATGACTCTGATTATCCGAACTGCAAATCGTGCCATCTTCTCGTATAAATTCAACGTGGGGACCCGTGGCCTATCGAAATAAACGCATTTTTATGACAACCTCAAAAATTATTAATCAAAAACGTTACGTTTGGTTTCCTTGAAAATCTGTGTTTGTGTTGCCGATTTGCGGCGGCTTGTTCTAAATCAAACATTGGCCCAAACCGCGTCGAACCCCTATAAATCCATTCGATACGGTTAATATCGTCGAAATAAACTTGAACTAACGAACAATCAACGTTTAAAACTGTTGCAACTCTCCATCTTCCTATATAAACAAAAATTAATTAATTAATTAATGGAGAGGGTTAAATAAATGGACGATTTTTATTAAATTTAAGCTATGTACATCATAATATTTTTGATTTTAAAGTTTATTATTATACAGGGTGATTCAAAAAAAAAGCTGAGGACTTCTAGAGTAGATAATACATGAAAAATTGAGATGAATAGTCTTAATATACATGGGGTCAAAATTTCTTTAAAATTATTATCTGCTATAAAAAACACTTTTTTAAAAATATTTTCAACTCCACTGCTAATTTTGTAGCAACCCCCTGTAGAATGTTTATTTTTAACCGATTTTTTTTAACACTTCTTATTTTTATATTTTTCAAAAATTTTCTATATTGATGCATCTGGGAGCAAAAATGTTACAAGGCATTGTGTTAAGGGTACAATTTGCTACAATTTTTGTTGTAAAAATTTTTCTGTATCATGCTCCGAATACTGATTTTTTTTTAACAGTTCTTATTTTTATATTTTTCAAAAATTCTCTGTATTGATGTATCTGGGAGCAAAACATTGTGTTAAGGGTACAATTTGCTACAACTTTCGTTCAATGTTTTTCAATAAAATCAATCATATCAACATAAACTTTAACAATAAATGTATTGGAATTATTTATTGTCCATTATCTTGGGTGGAAGTGAATAAAACAGGACTCATGCAGATTGACTTTGACAGTTGTTGCTTTGTTCAAATCGCACTTGCGTTGGTACTCTTGAAGCCAAGTTATGGGAAGATGAACGTCCTTCTCCTGATACCTCGAAATGCAAATCCACCCCTTACCCAAGTCCACTTCTTTGATCTAATGGAAATCCTGTAGTTATCTATAACTAGTTGCCCATAAATTTATTGTATTGAGCAACCTTTTTTTCTGTTTTGATATGTAGAATCAAAAGGCTATCAGAACTATTCTATTATCATGTCAGATTTCTTCTCTTCGCGAGACTTCGCCTACTGTGGACTAATTCTCCTGGAATAAGACATGTTAAGGTGTTTATTAACATCGCCACTGTCAAACCCGGGAATATTTTAGGACTTGTAAGTAGCAGCATAAAAGTTTTAATGCATGTCTTTACTGGGCACTGCCAATTAATGTAATGTAATGTGCATACTTTGTTATTTAGAGTAATAATTACTGGTGAGCGATCTGAGTTCAGCCCTAACTCTTCTTCTATGTTTACGAAGTTAAGCGATATATTTTTCGTAATAAAAAATATTTGTTGGACAGTAACTTGACTTCCTATTGCATGGTTCAGTTCTCTTCCTTTTGTATCTGTCAAGCGAGAACACCAAGATATATATTTTGCATTAAAGTCTCCTCTAAGTATAAATTTGTTGTCAAGAATTTCCTGATAATCTTCTCTTTTGAGATTAGATTATGTCTCGGTGGTATGTACGTTGCTCCTACAGATATTAAGCCATTAATACTTTTACCACTGCAATTTAGTGTTGTTCAGTACTAATTGTATTGTTGAAATAGTGGTCAACATTCCTCCTCGAGCCGCATTACTCGGGTAAATTGTGTGATAAATGTTGTAATGGTTGATGTTTATATACGATTCTCGTGTAAAGGTGGTTTGGTGAGTATTGGTAGTGTGTTTTGATGCTGTCAAATACCATTGGAATTCCAGAGTAGTATACAGTATAGTTATAATAGTACCTCTCCTTGTGTATCTTGGTTCCAGTCCTACCTTTCCTATCGGTTTTTACGTGTCCGCGTGGAATGTGTACTCTCTTCTCCTGTTGACATCAAGTATGGAGTTCCTCAGGGCAGTGTGTTGGGTCCTTTCTCAATTGTAATAAATAGTATTAGTGATGGTATCTCGTGTAACTATCATTTGTATGTAGATAACCTTCAACTTTATATTTCGTCAACTGTTAACAACCTCCCGGATGCTTTGTTGCATCTTAATAACGATCTCTCTAGCCTACTTGACTTCATGGACTTAACCTGAATCCAGGTAAAACGCAAGCCATTGCATTTGGCACTCGCCCCTTGCTGGCTTATTTTAATTTATTATCTACCCTTCAAGGGATCTGAGGCTTGGCGACACCGTTATTCCGTTTTCTAATACGGTCAAAAATCTTGGTGTGGTAATGGATTCGGCGATGTCTTGACGGCCACTAGTTCAGGGAGTCTGTAGGATAGTTTACTTTGAAAAAACTTCGGCACATTACTCCATATCGTAACAACCTGCAGATGATGACTTGTCGGAGTCGTAGATCATTTCATATGCTTATTATGTTGTACAAAATTGTCCATACTCCTGCTTATTTGTCAGATTCCTTCCAATTTCTAGCATCACATGACTTGCCCACTCAATCAATATCCGAATCTACGCTAATGTTTCCAGTCCATAGTACTGAAATCTAATATAGATCTTTTACAGTGCAGTCGATTGCGTTGTGGAACGATTTGCCTGCCATTGTTCGCAATGCAGCTAGCTTAATAAGTTTTAAAAATGCCTTGAGGCACCATCTCTTCAACTATCTTCTTCTTGACCTTTACGTGTTTGTTTTCTTCTCTAGTCCGCCTTTCATCTATCTTTTGCTGCACTTTTTTGTAGTAACTTGTAGTAACTGACTGTCGATCCGTAACATAATTCAAGTATGCTCATTCACTCACTTTTATTAGCACATCATTTAGTATTACTTTTTTAGTCTCCGATTTTTCTGGTTTTTTATGACCCTCAGAAACAGTTGCAGCAGTGATTTATGATTCATGATAGGCTCTCCTAGCGAACTAAGTCCAGAGACGCTCTTCTTTTTTTATTTTATTTCAATTTGAATTATTTAACATTTCTAACTGGCAATTGTCGTTAATTCAAGATTCTTCGGCAGTATCATAATAACAGTAGTCACTTTCCGCGCATTCTAAGCTGTCGTCATTACAAGAATCATCAACACTAATAATAAAACGCTGTACACGTGGCGACATCTTCCACGTGTTTTATACTCTTCCACATCCAGATCGGTCTTTATGACAGTCATAAATAAAAGCCGGGGTGATTTTTGCCCCCTCGAGTACCTGAAAAGACTTATGACAGTCATACAAGGACAGGGTAGAACTTACATTTTTTAGAAAAAACTTAGAAAAAGATATTACTTTTAGGAATGTCTAAATAATAGAATAACAAAATTTTAAAGAAACTAATTATTCTCCGCTCTCTTTTGTAAGTAGACAATGCATGCCTCCTCAAAACATTTCTTAGAAAAAATATGTACTTAATATTAGAAACACAACAAATAAGAGAATAATGAGTATTTATATAGGACCCTATTATTTTTCTACAATTTGCCAGTAAAGTGTGGTCCTTAATGCCGCCCTGAGTGAGGAATCCCAGCATTTTACAATGGGGAACTACCTGTTACAACCCCGTCTTTGTTAGTTTTACAACTACAGTAGGAAAGTGACAGAGTCATAAAAACCGATCGCCGTGTGGAAGACTATACGCACTGCGACCACAATTCGGATGAAATTTTATTATATTCCTCACGAATTATATTAATATTGTTTTTAAATATTATGTTTTTGTAATTTCCGTTAATGCGGACCTGAACAACTCACGCCGGAGTTTGGGGTTCGTCAACTACCTGTTTACAACCCCGTCTTTGTTTCGTTATATGACTGCAATTAAGTCATAAAAACCACCAGAAAAATCGGAGACTATACCAGTATAGGGTCGTGCCCCTCCCTTGGTCTATATCTTGGAAGATATCTTTAATCTTGAAGATATATTTATATTTATGTAAATATTTGTTTTTGAGGCAATAGTTATTATTATTATTAGAATGTAGATCCATGTTGCAAGTGGTTTATATAAAGAATATAACGAAATTTCGTTATATTCATTATTATTATTATTATTATTGCTGCCGGGCTGAGGAGGGCGGCCCCTCTCGTTACCGCGACCTATAAGATCTATTGTAACTTTAGCCCTCCAAAGGTTTAGGGCAAATGTAGGTCCTTAATGAACCTTAGTATTGTCCTGAGGTCTTGAACCTTTATGTCGGTAGGTAACAGGGGACTTTTACCGAAGACGTTGTGCCTCTGACGACGCAATTGCACAGTATATGTTCAGCAGTTTCTGACTCGTCGTTGCATACTCGACAAGTTTGATCCTCAGCTTGTCCAATGTGGAAGAGGTGGTATTTTAGGGGCACATGGCCGGTTAGGTAGCCTGAGAGCGTTCTTAGATCCCCTTTACTGAGGAATAAAACCTCTTTGGTTTTGTTTTGCGACGGAGTTATCATACTCTTCGCTTGTCTGTGACCTGGAAGTTCTTTCCAGCGTAAGGCTATCTGTGAAGCCTCCCAGTTGTTGATTATTTGTTTTAGGTGGCTTTTTTGTAGTCCACATCCAGGTTGGGGTCCAATGAAGGGCGTGTTTGCTGCCTCTTTGGCCAGCTTGTCGGCCTTCTCATTGCCCTCAATGTTGCTGTGACCTGGAACCCACCATAGGGTAACATCATTGCCCCTAGCGAGTTCTCTCAGGTTGTTGGTGCACTCTCTAGCCACACGTGTAGGCCTGAATTGCCTTTAAGGCGGCCCGACTGTCTGTGAAAATGTTTATGGATGCACCTTTTTGTCCCTTCTGTAGGTTCAAAGCGGTGCAGAAGTTTATAGCAAGAACTTCTGCTTGAGGGGCAATAGTTATACAGTAGTATTCCACATTATCAGTGTAATTACACTATAAAGAGAAGTAATCCACACTTTTTCCAATAACCATCACTACTAATGGTTAAAACAGATCTTATTTAATATGCTGCACTATGCCTTCATATAATTTTTTGCTTCCAAGATTATTATGCCACAAAAAATGTTTATTTCTTCTCAAGCAACTCCCAGTAGTCTCAAAGCGAAGTGTAGTCTCATCTTGAATCTATGAATATAGTGCGGGTATTAAATCCAAGTCCTCTTTGTCCGAATGATAATTTTTCCTTACATCTTCTACAAACAACTACGTCAGAAATAGCAGAAAACAGTCCGGTAAGTTTAAATTTTTTTGCTGAGGCACTTACTCCTGCATACACTAATATATTAATTACCACTGTATCGCGGCTTGAACTATAATTAAGTTAACTTTTCAAATATAAAGCAGAAAAACGATACAAAACGACTTCACGGTACACAACGAGTTATTGAGCAACTTTTCGACATCAAACAACTTTTATTACCTTAAAATCATAAATATTATGATGTATTGACCCTCCCGCCTTAAAAATTAAATTTAATTACCATTATATTCCGTCCTCACAGTTTGATCTTTAAGACACTTAACCAAAGCTCGATTTTTATAATTCTCAAGATACTTCCTAACAAAAGCCCTCGCATTAACATTAATATCCTCGGTAACATCGCTACTAGCTTCATGAATAAGATGAACGTGATTATGACTAACGTACTGCGCATAACCGTCATCGAAAAAAATTAAATATCGATACTTATTGCTTAATTGAAGCGGTTCGGCGATAATCCCGGGATAAAACGAGCACTTTTTATTCTTTTTCATCTCCCCCATATTCGTCGATTCCCTAAAAACGGCTATTACGCGAGTTCCAAGTCCGATTTGGACGTTACATGGGGTCGAATAAGCCAATTCTTTCCCTGTAACCATGCGTTTAATCGTTTTTTGTCGACTCACTATGGTTATTTCGAATTTATTAGGGGCGAAAATTCCTGTTAAGGTCCCCTTAACCCAAGTTCCAATGATTTCAAAACGATTTGTGTAATAAGTTTCGCCTGTTTTTATGGTTTGTTTTATAATGGGGCCTTTTGGGGGTAAATCAGATGGGATTAAAACGACTTCTCCGGTTAATTGGGTGATTGAGGCGACGTTCGGTGAAGTTACCGATGATAATGTGGTTTCGGGGAGTTTATTTTGTGGTTTTTGAACGAAATTTTGAGGTTTTGGTGATATATTAGGAAGTTTTGAGATGATCGTTTGTGCGTTATTGGTTTGATTGATCAATTCGGCGTTTCTTAACACATCGTTTATGTCATCGTTGATTTCAATGGGGGATAATTCGTGAATATCCGGTCTCATTAAATTGGATAACTCAAAAATCATACCGTCTGTGTCGGTTCGTATCTCGGAATAAACGTTTTTAACCTCATTAAATTTTTCTTGAACTCGCGTGCAATCTTTGCTTAATTGTTTTAAACACTTTTCGTATTGTTCGTTGAAATTGTAAGTGGTTATTACTTTATTTAAAGTTTCGTCGAAATTCTCTTCCAAAAAGCTCATCGTTTTTGGATCGATTACTTCTTCTCCTCCGGAATCGCTGTCCGAATCGAGAATTTCAAACACATCGTTTTTATAAGGAGTTTCAATGCTGCAAATAGCCACCCCGGAGAATACGGCTTGCGCTAATGTATCGTAATGTTGTACAGCTTCGTTGTAACATTCTACACAAATTTGTTGTTTTTTGCTTAATTTTGTTTTGACTCGGTAATAAGAGAGGCAAAAACTTGGGGGTTTTATCATGTTTTCGCCACTTCTACAGGCGTAATTTAAGCATTTATTCGCCGTTTTTATTGTGGTTAAATCGCAAACTGAAAAAGGAAATTATATTTGTGACAAAAAGTTAGGTTATGTTTACCTTCATCGTCGTCTAACACGATAACGTCCTCCGTAGGGGTTCCTTCAACATTCGCGGAGGCTCCAACATCGCTTGGGGCATCAATCTCCATATTTTCATTCATTTTTAGTTTAAAACACGATTATTATTAATTATTTAGTAAAAAAATTATTTAAGTAAAAACAAAATTAACACGCAATTGTGGATTGCGTCCTTTAGAGGGCGCTTTAACCCAAAATTTTTTTAAATTTAAAATACAAATAAACGTATTTTTCAATATACAAAAAAATGATTTAAATAATAATTTGACACTTAATTAAGTTCATTAATCACTAAATTTTGAATTAATGATATTTAATTACTTTTAAATTAAATTTCTTTAAGCGCCATCTATGTAAGAATAACTTAATTTTGACACATAACCTCAACAAAAAGTTTTTTCATCAAAAAACCTTTTATTTTATAATTAAAACATTAATTTTAATTTTAAGAATTCCCAATACGTTTTCTAAATCGTCTCGATAATTCTCGTTGCAAAGTTGCACGTTTGTAATTTCTTCCATAACTTCGTGGTTATAAGTGGAATTAAACATCTAAGCTAAAACCCCAGCTCTCGATGGCATACTCTGCCTGATTTAGCGTTCCTTTTCGAGTAATTCATCCAATTTAAGCACGATTATTTAATTATTTAACTAAAAAATTATTTAAGTGCAAATAAAATTAACACGCAATCGTAGTTTGCGTCCTTTAGAGGGCGCTTTAATCCGAATTTTTTTTATTTAAAATATAAATAAACGTATTTCTTAATATACAAAAAAACGATTCAAATAATAATTTGACACTTAATTAAGTTCATTTATCACTAAATTTTGCATTAACAACATTAATATTACTTTTAAATCATACCTCTTTAAGCGCCATCTATATAAAAATAACTCAACTTCGACACATAACCTCAAAAAAGAAATTTTCATCAAAAAACCTTTTATTTTATAATTAAAACATTAATTTTAACTTTAAATTAAGAAACACGTGTTTTAGAGTTCCCAATACGTTTTCTAAATCGTCTCGATAATTCTCGTTGCATCGCATGTTGATCTTATTGACTTCCCTTTGTAATTACTTCCATAATTTCTTGATTATAAGTGGAATGAAGAATCTCTCGATGCCATGCTCTGCCTGATTTGGCGTTTCTTTCCAAGTAATTTATCCATTTTAAGCTCGATTATTTAATTAAAAAATTATTTAAGTACAAATAAAATCAACACGCAATGTGATTTGCGTCCTTTAGAGGGCGCTTTAATCCGAAATTTTTTAAATTTAAAATATAAATAAACGTATTTTTTAATATACAAAAAAACGGTTTAAATAATAATTTGACACTGAATTAAGTTAATTTATCACTAAATTTTGCATTAACAACATTAATATTACTCTTAAATCATACCTCTTTAAGCGCCACCTATATAAAAATAACTCAACTTTGACATATAACCTCAAAAAAAGAAATTTTCATCAAAAAAACCTTTTATTTTATAATTAAAACATTAATTTTAACTTTAAATTAAGAAACACGTATTTTAGAGTTCTCAATACGTCTTCTAAATCGTCTCGATAATTCTCGTTGCATCGCATGTTGATCTTGTTGACTTGCCTTTGTAATTTTTTCCATAATTTCGTGTTTATAAGTGGAATGAAGAATCTTTCGATGCCATGCTCTGCCTGATTTGGCGTTTCTTTTCAAGTAATTTATCCATTTTAAGCTCGATTATTTAATTAAAAAATTATTTAAGTACAAATAAAATCAACACGCAATGTGGTTTGCGTCCTTTAGAGGGCGCTTTAATCCGAAATTTTTTTTTAATTTAAAATATAAATAAACGTATTTTTTAATATACAAAAAAATGATTTAAATAATAATTTATCACTTAATTAAGTTAATTTATCACTAAATTTTGCATTAATAATAATAAATAACTTTTAAATTAAATTTCTTTAAGCGCCATCTATGTAACAATAACTCAATTTTGACACATAACCTCAAATAATAAAATTTTCATCAAAAAAACCTTTTATTTTATTATTAAAACATTAATTTTAACTGTAAATTAAGAAACACGCGTTTTAGAGTTCCCAATACGTTTTCTAAATCGTCTCGATAATTCTCGTTGCATCGCATGTTGATCTTGTTGACTTGCCTTTGTAATTTCTTCCATAACTTCGTGATTATAAGTGGAATGAAGCATCAAAGCTAAAACCCCGGCTCTCGATGCCATGCTCTGCCTAATTTGGCGTTCTTTTTCGAGTAACTCATCCATTTTAAGCCATTGTCTGACTCGTTCCAAATCAACCTCCGCTCTGCGCAATTTCTCCCAAACGTAATGTTTAGTACAACTTTTTTTGGGAGCCCTGCAGAACTCGCCGGTTAAATCGAAAACGTTCGTAACAAGGGGGCACCCGCAAACTTCGTTTTCCCCAATTTTGGGGTCTTTGCAATGTTCTGGGCATAACACCCTTAACCGTTTGCAATAAGTTTTGTTTATTGGGTTAAAAAAGTCGCAAAACATGTTATTTCCTTCAATACGAGTTTTATAAACGGAACCAAACGAAGCTTGAGATTCGTATTTATTAAAACATTTCTCCATATGCTTAATAGCCGTTTTCGAATGGATTTCGTGCCCACAAGTGATGCAATACATCGACATTTCAGATTCATCTTCATGTTCGTATTCAGCGTTTGGATCGATTAAAGCATTTCGGGCTCTTTCTATGATTAAGTCTAATTCGCGATGGCGTTTATCGAGTTCATGCAGAATCCTTTGCACCTCCATTTGTTGTTTTCTAACCTCTTCGAGATTTTTAATGTTTTTTTCTTCCGCCAAACAGGGGCTTAGGGCCCACTCTTGAATGCGTTGGGGAAGGACTTGGTAAATTCGATTCGTTGCTAAACGATGCCCGCAAGTATCCGAGCAGTATTTTGAGCCAAATCGAGCGCTATTTTTGCAAGCGGGGCCGTAACATTGTCGGGCATAATCCGTTTGGAGGTGGGCGTTTCCAGGGGGTTCGTTATCGGAGCCCGAATCCCTCCGTTTCCTTCGATTTCCATAATTAACACAAACTCTTTGTTTACAACGATCTTTAACGCTTTTTCCGTATTTGTGTTTTCGGGTACAAACATCGCAGCGGCCGCAATCTTCCGTGCGATAACACCCCATGCAATCCCCGCATTTTTTTTGCTTCTTATCCGGTTTGGGTTCGCGTTCTTTTCGTTTTTTGGTTTTATCCCGCTCTTTATTATCTTTGTATGAGGCGTTTTCTTCCCGCTTTGTTTTCCAACGCGTTTGTAGGGTGTTATCTTCTTCAGTGCAACGAATACAAAAGTACTGCTTTATTAATTTAGCCTCCTTTTCGGAGATACTGATACAATCACCGTGGTACCATTCCTCGCACGCATCGCAAGCTATCATAAAACGCGAACTATCGGAAGAGCGACAAATACAATAAGCTTGACCGTCTTGTTTGAGGAGGGTATCGATTTTCGATTGGCGTTCGGGAAGAAGGAATTGTTTCGCTATTTCTTCTCGCTAAAAATTAACGTTTATGAGGTAAAGTGAGGTTATGTTGGGTGTTTACTTACGGAGATATCCTTTTTTCGCGACATTTTCGGGCGATTCGGAATCTAAATATGATTCTAAGATGAAATAAGAACGTTTTTTTTTATTGTTTTAGGGGTTAGAACGAAATTAATTTTAATTATTTTTTTTTGGTTTGACAGATAAAGATTGAGGTTATGTCAAAATTAATTTTATCAATTAATTGAATTGTGACGAAAATTCTGGCGAAATTGATAAGTTTTCGCGTTGAATGATGGATCGAATAACGAAACTTACCGCTAACAATAAGAATTATCGCTTAATTCGATAACGCTTCGTAAAAACCGCGATTTGGAGCGACTAAAACGGAATAAAATTAATTAATTAAAAGAAACGCAATGGAATCGCCGAAATAATAAAGATGTAACGATAAAATTAATTTAAGTTTATGATTATACCTTTAGAAAGTCGTTTTCGTATAAAGTTGTGTTTATTTTCTGACATAAAGTTCTCCGCGCTGATTGGTTGTTTGTTTGGCGGGGTTAGAGTTGTCGCCGCCTGGTGGAACGCTTTGTAAGCACCACAGACCTGCTTGATCCCCAACGTGGTAAGTCGATTTCTCGTTTCCAGTTAAAATTTAATATAAATTCGTACGATTTTTTGTTCAATCGGGGGTTTGGTGATAAAAATAATAGTTTTTTCGCTCGATTTTATCCGATTCGGTTCATCCGATTTGTTTTTACGGTTCGCGCGTAATAAATTCAGGTAAAATATATTCTCGTATATATGGCGTCACTATATCCTACCCGGCTCGCTTGATTTCGGCGTCATCTTAACGCAAAAATTAATTTCTCGATTAATAAACCTCGGTGGAGTTCGTTGATGGCGCAAAAAAAATACGAAATTTTCGCACTTTTCCGATTTTAAACGCGGCCCAAGCAAAAAGCGCCTATTTTCCCGGAAATTATTTGGGTGTATACCGGAATTTTAATATTCTATTATTTTATAAATGGCGCGCATTTGTTTCTTTCGTCGCTCAACGGCTTTTTTTTGTTTTTTTATTTCCTAACCTCAAATTTTTTTAATTAATTATTTATTTTTAGGTTTAAACATTAATAGTTATTGGGAAAAAAATGTCGGACGAACCAACCAAACGCGGCCGTAAAGCTGAAAAGAAAACGGAAAAGATTGAAGTTGAAAAAGAATCGAAAAAACGGCCCCGCAAGGAGACCAAGCCCGTCGAAAGTGGTGCCGGCGACACTGAAGATGGGGCTACACCGGTGAAACGAGGCAGGGGGCGGCCGAAAGGCTCCACCAAAAAGAAAAACGCTCACGGTGCCGCCAAAGTCACCAAACCAAAAGGACTAGGTAATGTTTTAAATCTAACCTCAAACGATTTTTTTGATTATTAACTTCTTAATTATGTTTAGGGCGGAGAGGAAGACCTAAACGTGAAGAAGCTAAGGAATCGGCGGAAGAAGATGGTGAAGAAAATGATGCTAACGAAGAAGAAGACGATGATTAGATTTCTTTAACCGTAAAGTAAAAAATTTTAACAGCCAACGATAGGCGAATCGTCCCTCATTAATTTTCTTTGTATTACTTTACTATTTATATCAATCTTTTCGTGTTCTCAAATTGGAATGATAATTTATTTTCTTTTTGTTCGTAATCATCACTTTCGGGCACTAATTCTTCCGTTGCCATTGCGTTATTAGTTTCTTTTACCGTTTAAGAATCTTATTAAGTGTAAAACGCGCCCCGTTGGTCTCTCGTAATTATTTTAATTCAAGGGACTCTAAAATAAAATTTATATGTTTAGTTGTAAGAAATAGTTGGAACAAAATCGACGAAATGTCTTTTGTTACTCCCATTATGTGTATCTATTCTAGTAAGGATCTATCTGAAATCGTGTAAAACTCATTTTTTTCAATAAAAATCATTAAACCACAATTTTTTTAATTTAATTAATTTTAATTATTAAGAAATCCCGCCAAAAATTTTTCACCGCAAGATGGCGCTTCATTAATATTTATCTTTTCACAGCTACAACATTTATTTAAATTTATATTAATTTAATTACGCTTTTATTAATCAAATTTGTTACTTAGGTTGTAAAAGTAATTTATTATTTAATTAAATTAATTTATTTAACGAATTTAATTTAAAATCAATATTGTAGATGGCGCCATAATCTTTTTATGTAAGCGAACCTGTCAAAAGTGATTTGTTTATTATTGTAAAAATAATCGTTGAAACGTGATGAAACAACGTTTAAATGGTGCTTAATTCCAATTTAAAACGATAAATCAAAAAAATAAGCCCCATAAAGTTATGGTTAGTACCGAAAATTAGTATTAAAAAAAAGTTAGGTTATGTTTACTTATTCTTATAAAAAAACATAACCTCAAAATTAAAAAAAATTTCTTTTAGAATCCTAGCTTACCCAATATCTCCCCGTCTGGGTTTGTAGCATTAGAAGAAAATGTAAAAGAACGTTGCATAAAGACATAATAGAACTGTTTGCGGATGTAAAAAGAATTTTTACTAAGATAAACACAGTTGATAACCACATAAACGCAACAAGAAATAATATAGTTAATGAAATAACTAACTTTCTATATAAACATAAAGAAGAAAAGCACAACATTTTCAAAAAATTCTTATTAAATAACAAAGATATAGTAGTAATAAAATTAGATAAGACTAAACAATTAATCATACTTTATAAGAAACAATATAATGTACAATAAGGGCAGATCCTGGACCTAACTTAGTAGTCAAAATTAACGACTATTTAAAAAAATTTGGAAAAAATGAAATATGGATAAAAATCTTAAATTACAATTAGCCCCAATGCATTATACAACCCCTAAGATTCATTGATTGCTCGAAATACATAAAGATGATAAACCTTTGAGACCTATAATAAATAATATTAATGGACCTACCAATCAATTAGCAAAGTTCTTGAATAAATCATTAAATTTATTAAATGAATTTGATGTTAAAAGTGTTTAGGAATTAAAGGAGAAAATAAAATCATTAAATATAGAAGATTTGAATGATGGATATAGTGAGTTTTGACATACAATTATTGTTTACTAATATACCAGCGCATAAAATGATTGAATTATTATAATAAAATTGGCGACATATTGAAATAAAACGCCTCACTTGGTCTCAACTTGCTACCAATTAATACCCTCGATACACTCATAACATATACCAAATTTGGTTTTTCTAGCTTAATATATTACAAAGATATTCAATAATTTAAAAATTTAAGAGCCAACTTTGAAGGCCTATAACTCCTCAGGGGTACAACTTAGTATAGAGATAAGTTGCATTAAATCATCTTAATTCATTGTCCTCTACATATCCCTGCTCGGTGTCTCTTCTTATGTGAATCACCCGGAAAAAACGAACCGCAAAAAAAAACCGGCCACTATAAATTAGCCAAAACTTCAAAGCTTTTCTTGCGAACCGCGCATTCGATTTTGATGATTCTTTTTTTGATCGAAAGGTTGATTCTTCGGTAATAATCCTGCGATAGAAATTTTTATTCAGATTTTAATTTGAACATATACAGGCTGTAAGAATGAGAAAAACATTTTTCTCGAAATTTGTAATACCCTGATTTGACATGTATATAATGGTTTAGAAATAAATCGAAATAAATAATTAAAAGGACGAAATAGTGTCATATTTCGTATATTAAAAAATAATAAAGCCTCCATATACAAATAAATAATTAAATAATTAATTTTAATTATTAAGAAATTTTTCACCGCGAGATGGCGCTTCATTAATGTTTATCTTTTGACTGGTAAAACATTTATTTATTTATATTAATTTAATTACGTTTTTATTAGCTTTATTAATCAAATTAGTTGTTTAGGTCATAAACTTAATTAAATAAGTAATAACAAAATTTATTATTTAATTAATTTAATTTAAAATCAATAATGTAGATGGCGCTATAATCTTTTTATGTAAGCGAACCTGTCAAAAGTGTGGTTTATTTATTAAGTTTATTATTGCAAAAATAAGCATTGAAACGTGATGAAACAGCGTTTAAATGGTGCTCAATTCCAATTTAAATCGATAAATCAAAAAAATAAGCTTCATAAAGTTATGGTTAGTACCGAAAATTTGTTTTAAAAAAAAGTTAGGTTATGTTTACTTATCCCTGTAAAAAAACATAACCTCAAAAATAAAAAAAAAATTTCTTTTAGGATCCTAGCTTACCCAATATCCCCCCGCCTGGGTTTGTAGCCCCCGCTGGAATTGGAACGCCGCCGTTATTACCCCCAATCGGGGCTTTCCCCCCGATGATTACGCAATTTAGCGTCCCACCACCCGGATTCGGAAATTACCCACCCCCGGCGGGTTCGAACACCCAACAAGAGCAATGGTCGGAACATAAAGCACCCGATGGGAGGACTTATTATTATAATGCGGTGACAAAGCAGAGTTTGTGGCAAAAACCGGATGTTTTAAAAACACCTTCTGAGGTAAAAAGAATAATAAAAATTTTTTTATGTTTAAAGTGATTCTTTTTAGTTATTATTATCGCAATGCCCCTGGAAAGAATACACAACGGATAATGGAAAGATTTATTATAATAATGTTAACACAAAAGAGTCCCGTTGGACGATTCCGCCGGAATTAGAAGAAATAAAAAATAAAATTGCAGCTGAGGATAAAAAAAATGTTTCTCCCAATGAGTCAAGTCCTTTAACGACGTTCCCCGCAACAAATTTATCGACGGTTTCGCCAAATACGACTTCGAGTAATAACAAAAAAGAAATTATTTTAATGAATTAATTATTTCTAATTTTAGGTGCAAGCCCCGGTGGGAAAAGTGCGTTAGAAGCTTCAATGGCTGCAACATTAGCTGCAATTTCGCTCCCAATTCCTCCCCCAAAGCCTGATGAAGACTCAAACCCTTCGATTCACCCCGAGCTTCCAATAAAAGACTCTCGCAACTCAACCCCTGAACCGAAAGTTTATAAAGATAAAAAAGAGGCGATGGAAGCCTTTAAAGAGTTGCTAAAAGACAACAACGTTCCTTCGAACGCATCTTGGGAGCAATGCATAAAAATAATTCAACACGACCCCCGATATGAATCATTAAAACGTTTCAACGAACGAAAACAAGTTTTTAACGCGTATAAAACTCAAAAACAAAAAGATGAGAAAGAAGAGAGTCGATTGAGGGCGAAAAAATCGAAGGAGAATCTCGAACAGTTTTTATTAACCACCGATCGGATCACCTCAGCCACTAAATATTATCGGTGTGATGAAATGTTTTCTACAATGGATCTTTGGAACGCAGTAAGCGACTCAGATAGACGCGATATTTACGAAGACGTCATGTTTGCGCTTGCTAAGCGAGAAAAGGAGGAGGGAAAAGTGTTAAAAAAAAGAAACATGAAGAAATTAAGGGAAGTTTTAGATAATATGATGGAAATTAAGTACGATACGACTTGGAATGAAGCCCAAAGCATGCTTTTAGGAAACGAGACTTTTAAAAACGACGTTAATTTACTTGCCATGGATAAAGAGGATGCTTTAATCGCCTTCGAGGAGCACATCAGAGAATTAGAAAAAGAAGAAGTCGAGGAAAAAGAGCGGGAAAAGAAGCGCCAAAAGCGACAATGTCGAAAAAATCGCGATCAATTCATTAATTTATTAAACACGTTACACGAAGAAGGGAAATTAACTTCGATGTCACTTTGGGTGGAATTATATCCGATTATTTCGGCGGATGTCCGATTTTCAGCTATGTTGGGGCAAAACGGAACCACCCCCCTTGATTTATTTAAATTTTACGTGGAAAATTTAAAGGGGCGTTTCCACGATGAAAAAAGAATCATCAAAGAGATACTTAAAAATAAAGAATTCGAAGTTAGAGTTGATACAACTTTTGAGCAATTCGCAACCGTCGTTTGTGAAGATAAAAAATCGTCCTCGTTAGACGCCGGGAATGTAAAATTAACCTACAACTCGTTACTCGAAAAAGCCGAGGCGAAAGAAAAGGAGCGCCTTAAAGAAGAAAATAAAAGAATCAAAAAATTAGAGAACGATTTTAAAAAACTTTTACGAGAAATGAACATTAATTTTGATCTCTCCTGGGATGAAGTTAAAGAGAAATTGGCGAATGAGGAAGAGTTTCAAGCTTTTGCATCCGATTCGGAACGATCTAAAGTTTATAAGGTAAATATTTTTAATTAAAAGTGAGGTTAATTTGAGAACTGTCAAATTTTTAAAAAAATTTGAGGTTATGTATACATAACCTCAATTTTTTTTATGAATTATTTAAATATTGAATTAATTAATGAATTTTTTTAAGGATTTTCAACACGAAATGGAAGAATCTTGTAGTCACCATCATTCAAGATCGAGGAAATCGAAAAAATCGAAAAAAAATAAAAAATATAAATCGTCGAGTAACTCCGATTCCGATTCGGAAAAGAAAAAGAAACAGCACCGATCTCGAACGGCGACCCCCGTTTCCGATGAGAGCACCGAAGAATATAAAAAACGTAAATCGAAGAAAAAACACAAAAGAAAAAGTCCATCCGTAAGTTACCCATAATTAATTTTCTTTTTAATTCCCCCCCCGTTTAATTATTATTATAATTATTTTCTTTTCGATTTATTTTTAGACTTAATGTTCCTGTTTTTTTATATGTTAAACCCCTTTTTTGTGTTTAATAAAACCTAAATTAACCTAAAAAGTGTGTACCTAACCTCAAAATATTTATTTTAATTTATAATTATTATTTAATTGTTTAAAATAAATTGAAAGGTAGAGGAATTATTATAAATTTGGTGTTGTGTGTAGAGGAGTCCAACTGATGAACATTCCTCCCGAAGAGCAGCGAGAAGAACTTCCGATGGGGATGGACACCGAGGCGATTTGAGCGAAACCGAACTCGAAAAGCAAAGGGCGCTCCTTCTCGCGCAATTAAAAGAACCCGAAAGCGATTAATTCGTATTTCGCGGAATTTTTTTAAGAAGAACATAACCTCAATTAAAATTTATTAAAAAATAAGTATGATTTTTTTCTCAATATCCTTGTATAATTATGATCCTTTTGTTTTGTTTATTATTATACATTACTAAATTAATTGGATTTAAATTAATTTGGATATAAATAATCGGAAAGGTACATACATAACCTAATTTTTTTTTAATTTTTATATAGTTTTAACTTTTAAAGGGTAATATAAAAAGAATTAATACATTTATTTAAATAATTCTTTATTAATTTTATTAATAATTTATTTAATTATAATTTAACAGTTTTTTTTGATTATTTACAGTTGGTATTTTAGTCACCATACATTTTTTGACACATGACAGAATAAAAAGTCAAATTGCGGTTGTGTCGCGTTCCGAGATCGATTCTTTTCGTTTTTGCGTCACATTTCAGTCGGACGCCGATTAAATCGGGACGCAGTCGTATCGCGGAGCTACAAACGTTACGTGAGTACTAATTTTTTTTAATATTATGAATTTGCACAATCACCATACGCCGGTCGTTTCCGTACTACGTCGACGTGACGTAGCCCCTTCGTTTTATTAATTAACCCGATTAAACAGGTGTAAAGATTATCTAAAATAATATTGGTACACGGTTATAGAGGATTTTTTGATTTATTTGCGGTAATAAATCGATTTAAACAAAAAATTTTTAAAATTCGCTGGCGATTTAATTGATTTGACGTTTAATAGATGGCGTTGTTTTTGGGTTAAACAAATTTTTGAGGTTATGTTTTAACATCATCTAGGTTATGTTTTATGTTTGAGTAAACGAAACTTTCTCTCTTAAAATTTCGTTTTCTCCTCACTTTCTTTTCGTTTTTTTTTCGCGTTCGCACCTAAATGTAAGTTATTATTACTTTATTGTCCGTTTTATTGCTTTGACTCGGCTTAATTGGGCTATTTACAAGTTATTCAAACTAGTTTTGGTTTGCTTTTGTGATTTAACCTTCGAAACGGAGCGCTTAGAAATAGTTTAAAGAGAAAAAAACTCGCAATTTCATGTAAGTGTGATAAAAGTGATTTTTCTCCTTTTATTTTTAACCTTGAAGTTGTTTTTTTTATTATTAAAGTCTTGTTGACTTTTATTTTGGTGCTGATAAAACGAAGATCTGAATCAGGTGATGTTAAAATGTAGTGTTTTAATTCCCAAATTAATTACGTTGATAAAAAAAACGTTTTTGTTTAATCGGATGATTTAGTTGAAACATTGATTATAAATATTGTTTTCGCAAAAACATCTATTTATAACGGTATCAATTCATTATGTAACTAAAAACGATAATTTTGAAGATTTGACCTCAAAAATAACGTTTTTTCTCTTCCAGATTGATTACATAACCTCGAAAAATCGCCAAATTCGAATTTTAAGATGTCGGCGAAAGGGATTCGGGAAGCAACCGGAAAAGATTTGATAAATCGCCTTTTAGATTCCGATACAGCGGCGGTTCGATGTAAATTCGCTTCAGTGACGCCGAAAACGAATTTTGGAGCCCTAATTGAGAGCCACCCTTGGTTGCAAACTCACCCTCTGGTAGTTAAACCAGATCAATTAATAAAGCGGCGAGGAAAGCTTGGTCTAATCGCCGTAAATAAAAGCGTGGATGAAGTGAAACAATGGATAGAAGAGAGGATGAATAAAGATCAAAAGATTGGAACAGCAACTGGGAAATTAAGAAACTTCATAATCGAGCCTTTCATCCCTCATAAACCGGAAGAGGAGATGTATATTTGTATTTACTCCCACCGGCATGGTGATACGATTTTATTTCACCATGAGGGTGGTGTTGATATTGGGGATGTTGACTCGAAAGCATTAAAAATTGATATTTTAATTGGGGACGATTTAAAAGTGGAACAAATCGAAAAGGGGTTGTTAATAAACGTCGCTGATGAGAAAAAAGCGATGTTAATTAAATTCATTTCTTGTCTTTATAAAATGTATGTTGAGCTTTATTTTACATATTTCGAAATTAACCCTTTGGTGGTTACCGAGAAGGAAATTTACGTGTTGGATTTAGCGGCGAAATTGGACGCAACTGCCGAGTTTTTGTGTAAACCCCAATGGGGCGAAATCGATTACCCCCCTCCGTTTGGTCGAGACGCTTACGACGAGGAAGCTTACATCGCCGATTTAGATTCGAAATCTGGGGCAAGTTTGAAATTGACCATTTTGAATAAAAATGGGAGGATTTGGACGATGGTTGCTGGTGGTGGAGCTTCTGTTATTTATAGCGACACGATTTGTGATTATGGAGGGGCTAATGAACTTGCTAATTATGGAGAATATTCTGGTTAGTATATCTATATATTTAAAAAAACACTTCTGGGTTTCTCTATAAATGAGAAAAATGACATTTAATGTTTTTAATTAAAATTAACTCTAACAATTTTGTAAATGTACACTTTTAATGGAAAATTCCTCTTTCTATAAGAGATAGAGGAAAAATGATATATGATGGCGAAAACCGCATATCGAGATCTCTTACTGTTTCAGAGATACAGGGTGTTTTCAAAAAAAGTGCATTTTCGAAAAATTGTCATAATTTTTTCTTTTCTATTCTGTGAAAACATTTCCAAAGCAACTTTTTACGTTGAATTCGATGGAGTAAGTTAGGTTTCCCTCAAAGCAATATTTTAGTAGTTATTGACATAAAAATATACAACATTAAAATCTATATATGGAGATTTTGAAAAAGTAGGCTTTGGAAATAAAAGAAAAACGAGATTATATTTATAAATAGCATCAAGATAGTTGGTTACAATGAATTAAAAAACAAATTCATAAACAAGGAGCAGATTAAACTAATAAAATTTATTAGAAAACAACTATATGATAAATATATGGCAACAAATAACAACAAAAATTAAACCCCTTTTCCATAGAAAATGTTTATCTCCTACAGAAAGAGGAGTTTCCCTTTAAAAGTGTCCACTTTGGCCCACCCTGTACATGACGTGTGGTTTTTATATTCGCTTTTTTTTCTAATCTTGTCACTGAATTAAAATAAAACTAGAACTAACACTAGACGTGGAAATATTCGGGTTTAGCCGTGCGCCTAAAAATAATTTTAGTGTTTTTTGAAAAGAACTTTCAGGTATTAATCTTAAATTTAATTTTATTATTATATTCGTAATCTTTATTAAAAAACCTTTAAAATGAGTCCAAACATGACGTACTTATCTCAAAAAACAAAAAAGTCGTACTAAAAAAACGTTAAACGCGAAGTTAGCAACAATGAAGTTAGAAATTTAATTTTTAAATATTAATACCAACCTTAATTTTGATTTTTTTTTATATTTTTGTTTTTATGATAAATTTTGAGACATTTTACAAAAATTAAGAACATGTCAAAATGACGTTGACATTTCAAACCGGAAGTTGCTTATATCTCGAATAATATCGGAATTAAATGTAGCATGTTTGGACTCATTTTAAAGGATTTTTCACGACGATTACAAATATGTCAAAATTGACGTTGACAATCCAAACCGGAAGTTGACCATAACTTCATTAATATTGAAGATAAATGTGTCGTGTTTGTATTTATTTTAAAGGATTTTTAATGAGGATTACAAATATGTCAAAATTGAGGTTGGCATTTTAAACCTGAAGTTAATTCTCATAAAATAAACAAATGAACAACTTCATGATGTTCCTTCCTGATGTATTTTTTATTAAAAAACCTTTAAAATGAGTCGAAACATGACGCACTTATCTCAAAAAACTAAAAAGTTAGACTCAAAAAACATTAAACCTGAAGTTAGCAACAATGAAGTTAGAAATTTAATTTTTAAATATTAATACCAACCTTAATTTTGATTTTTTTTTATATTTTTGTTTTTATGATAAATTTTGAGACATTTTATAAAAATTAAGAATATGTCAAAATGACGTTGACATTTCAAACCGGAAGTGTACCATAACTTCGTTAATATTGAAGATAAATATGTCGTGTTTGTACTCATTTTAAAGAATTTTTAATGAAGATTACAAATATGTTAAAATTGAGGTTGGCATTTTAAACCTGAATGTTTCTAGTTCTCGGTCTAGTGTTAGCTCTAGTTTTACACAAAACCTGCATTACCTTTTTTTCTATTTTTTTTATAAGATTATTTGAATTGTTACATTCTTTTTTGTAATTATTAGAACCATTTTTATTTCTTTAAAAACGTTTTGTTCTTTTTCATTATTTTCTTCTACTATACTAAGTCTTTGTATAAAATCCAGAGTTTCTTTTTGACCACAAAACACATATATTTTATGAATTCCACGAAATTTAATAATTTTAAACAAATTTTTAGGCGCCCCCTCCGAACAACAAACGTACGAATACGCAAAAACGATTTTATCACTCATGGTTCAAGAGAAACACCCAGATGGGAAAGTTTTAATCATCGGGGGCGGAATTGCCAACTTCACCAACGTCGCGGACACTTTCAGGGGTATCATCACCGCGTTACGCGAATACCAACACCGATTAATCGAGCACAAGATATCGATTTTCGTTCGGAGAGCCGGCCCGAATTATCAAGAGGGTTTAAGACGAATGCGAGAAGTTGGACAAACGTTAGGTTGATAAAAATTAATCAATTCTTTTTATCTTAAGTGGTTTAATTTGGAATAAATTTTTTTTAGGTATTCCTTTATACGTTTTCGGCCCTGAAACCCACATGACGGCTATTTGCGGAATGGCTCTCGGTAAAAAACCGATTCCAATTGAAAGTTCGGTCAGTCACGAGACCACAACAGCCAATTTTTTGCTTCCGAGCCAATCTGGATCGGCGAACAACCTGGCTTTTGAGAACGAAAAATCTGAAACGGATAAAGTTTTTCGAACTAACCAAGCTGTAAGTTTATTTATAATTTTGAGTGTTTTTTTAACTTTGGTGTTCTTTGGTTCTTTTTTTTTATTAATACCTTTTTCTTTTTTGTACATATTAACTAATTTTTTCCTCGGTTATTATTATTTTTTTTTATTAATCAATTAATTTGACAAATTTAAAGTTTTTTATGCGAAATTATCAAAATTTTTTAAGGACCAAGGAACAAATTGCGAAGTTAGGATGATCGAGGAAGTCTCAGAGGTAAACAAATCAATTTTGGTTCGTCACTGTAATTAAAATTGAATTAATCTAATCTTAATCATCAATCAAATCAAGATTTCATTAAAAAAATCACCTCATTTTTTAGGGCGACGCATCAAGGAAACTTCCCATGTTCTCAGCGACCACGAAAGCAATCGTTTGGGGGATGCAAACTCGAGCTGTTCAAAGCATGTTGGACTTTGATTTTGTTTGCAGAAGAATTGAACCGAGCGTTGTTGCTATTATTTATCCATTTACTGGGGATCATAAGCAGAAATATTATTGGGGGCATAAAGAAATTTTAATTCCAGGTTAATTAATTAATTAATATAGTAAAACCTTGATATAATGGACAAAATTGAAGCTGCTGAGACAAGAGGATTTACTTCAAAAAGCGGAAGTTTTCTTCATTATAAATATATCATATAATTGCCAAAAAGCTGCTGAGGCAGGAGAGTGAGTACACAAAACTAGAAGTTTTCCTTATTATAAATCTTTTATATAATTGCTGAGGCAGCTTAGCTGCTGAGGCAGGAGTTCGCGAGTACATAAAACGGAAAATTTTCTTAAATTTATATATCATATAATTGCCGAAGCAGCTAAGCTGCTGAGGTAAGAGCGCAATTTACTTCAAAAACGGAACTTTTCTTCGTTATAAACGTATTATATAATTGCCGAGGCAGCTTAGCTGCTGAGGCAGGAGTGCGTGAATACATAAATGGGAAATTTTCTTATAAATATATCATATAATTGCCGAAGCAGCTAAGCTGCTGAGGCAAGAGCGCAATTTACTTCAAAAACGGAATTTTTCTTTGTTATAAACGTATTATGTAATAGCCGAAGCAGCTTAGCTGCTGAGGCAGGATAGTAAGTACACAAAACTGGAAGTATTTCTTATTATAAATCTCTTATATAATTGCCGAGGCAGCTTAGCTGCTGAGGCAGGAGTGCGCGAGTACATAAAACGGGAAATTTTCTTATAAATATATCATATAATTGCCGAAGCAGCTAAGCTACTGAGGCAAGAGCGCAATTTACTTCAAAAACGGAACTTTTCTTCATTATAAACGTATCATGTATAGTCTTCCACACGGCGATCGGTTTTTATGACTCTGTCACTTTCCTACTGTAATTGTAAAATGAACAAAGACGGGGTTGCACCAGGTAGTTTCCCATTGTAGAATGCTGGGATTTCTCACTCAGGGCCGCATTAAAGAACACACTTTACTTGCAAATTGTAGAAAAATAATAGGGTGATATATAAATACTCATTATTCTCTTATTTGTTGTATTTCTAATATTAAGTACATAGTTTTTCTAAGAAATGTTTTGAGAATGCATGCATTGTCTAATTACAAAAAAGAGCGGAGGATGATTAGATTCTTTAAAATTCTGTTATATTAGTTTTTATAATTAAATTTTAGTTGTTATAACTAAACTTTGGTTTTTTTATTAAATATTAGTTTAAAAAAATTTAAATTCGACCCTGTCTTTGTCTGGCTGTTATAAATCTTTTCAAGTACTCAAGCGGGCAAAAATCACCCCGGCTTTTATTTATGACTGTCATAAAAACCGATCTGGATGTGGAAGAGTATAATAGCCGAAGCAGCTTAGCTGCTGAGGCAGGATAGTGAGTACACCAAACTGGAAGTATTCCTTATTATAAATCTCTTATATAATTGCCGAGGTAGCTTAGCTGCTGAGGCAGGAATGCGCGAGTACATAAAACGGGAAATTTTCTTATAAATATATCATATAATAAATAAGAGCGCAATTTACTTCAAAAACGGAACTTTTCTTCGTTATAAACGTATCATATAATTACCAAGGCAGCTTAGCTGCTGAGGCAGGATAGTGAGTACATAAAACGAGTTCGATAATATGTTGGGTTGGGTTGGGTTTCAACACGATGGGGCACCACCACTTAATAAGCTAGCGGTACGAAATCATGGAAATCTGCGTAAAAATCAGTTACGCTGCTTTATTAAACATGTAATATCCTACAAATTTTTCCTTTACACATTTTTCCTAAAATCAATAATAGCGGAGCCATAGGTATATTTAATCGTCTCTCTATCTCCGCTAGTTTTCGAGATATCCATACTAAACATGGAAAAAAGCTCTGTATAGGGTGTATCTGAATGACTACAACAAACTTCAAGGGGTGATTCTTTATTGAATTTTAAGGGTACTTAGGTATATGAACTATGGGCGACTTCGGCTCCCCTAAGGAGCTACACCCCTCCAAAAATATTGAAAATTTTTGGTTTAATTTTTTTTCTCAAAAACCGTAAACGCTAGGTAAATAAAATTTGGGGAATATGTTTAATTCACAGTAAGGCACCTTTTGATCCTATTTGTACTTTCAACCTACCCTTCTAAACGTAACCACCCCCTTTACATTTTTACTAAATTTTTTTTTATGCAGATGATAAATACATTAGAAAATTCAGTAGTCGGCTGTGAAATTGTAAGTCAAACTAGACAAATAGGTCATAAAACCTTGTCGTCAAATAACTTTATAATATTTCATTAATAACTTTCATTAGCGAAATGTGTCTTCAGTTATTTGAGTTTTTTTATGAAAACGACAATGTTTTTTAAAAAACAATGAGTAAATAGAGTTTTAGAATTAAATTCCACATGAAATGAGGTAATAATTCTAGCTTATTGCTGTTTTGGTTGTTTTAACAAGTAGGTGTTAATGTTATTCGTTTATTTAGAACAGAAAGCTTAATTATTTGCTTTCTAAATACTCACACTTCAGCTTCTAAGCACGACATTTATAATAAAGAAGCAGCTTAGCTGCTTCATAATACAGGGCGTGTCAAATTTCTGAAATATAGCCAATAACTTCGTCATTTGTGGTTTTAAAGAAAAATGTTTCAAATACAGGTTTCTGTATTAATCATGGCGCATTTTTTGGCGATATTTGCTTGTTTGCATTGGTTTTTGTTTCGTTGCTATGGCAACCAACATTGTTATTTTAAATGGGATGCATATATATTTTTTTTCATACTTTGATAGAGGATAAATCTCTCTATGCGATAACCATATCAAATGATATGGTTGTATAAGAAAAAATCGAGAAATGATGCGTTTTTTGATAGTATTGAATCAGCTAATTACAATCAAAGTAGGCGCTGAAATAACACCGTTGACAGCTTTAAATGTCAAAAAAATTACAGTTTCAACAATTATGAATAATTAATAATGTATAGTTCATTTTTTTTTTATAATACCTGTCAAATTGTTGTAAAGTTGGCAAAATTAACAGGGAGTTTTGTTTTCTCATGTTTTGAAGTAAATATGTCACATTGACGTTTGAGCTTTCGTTATTCAAAAAGAAAAGGTACATAAAAAGTGTTGTGGGGTGTTTATTTGCCATTTACTTATCTAGAAAAGGTATTTTATTTTATTTAATTACTTTGTAGCACGTTTTTACAACAAATATGTACTTCGTCAAAATCGTATTTATCAAAATGTATTAGTATTTTAACCTCAACTAAATAGTTACTGAAAATGTTACTAAAAACCATGAAAACAACATAAATTTTATAAGGGGCCCTAGATAATACCAACAGAAACCCTAAATAATTTACATTGACAAGTATTATAGAAAAAAAACGAACTATAGCTGTTTTTAGCTATCATCTTTTTGGAAGGTTTTTAACCCTTTCGGTGTTAAAGATTTTTTTTAATATTTTTATTATCACCATACCCATACATTATTAATATTTGGATTCTTTATCGTTCGCTTAATTGCGCCATATTTCTTTAACCTGTCAATTTTTTGACATTTAAAGCTGTCAACGGCGTTATTTCAGCGTCTACTTTGATTGTAATTTTTTTTGATTCAATATTTTCAGAGAACGCATTTTTTCTCGATTTTTTTCTTATACAACCATATGATTTGATATGTTCATCGCGTAGAGAGATTTATCCTCTATTAAAATATGCAAAAAAAAAACAAGCATCCCATTTAAAATGACAATGTTGGTTGCCATAGCAACGAAACAAAGAACAATGTAAACAAGCAAGTATCGTCAAAAAAAGAGCCACAATTAATAAAGAATTTTTTATTTGAAACATTTTTCTTTAAAACCATAAATGGCGATGTTATTGGCTATATTCCAGATATTTGACACACCCTGTATATTAAATTTATAATAAAGAATTTTCCGTTTTTTAAGTAAATAACGCTCCTGCCTCAGCAGCTCAGCTGCTTTGGCAACTACATCATATACAGGGTGTTTTAAAACAACGTTTAAATATTTATAGGGGTAGTACTACAGTCGAAAACAAGTCAAAAGTGTTAATCAACATGGGTCCGAAAATCAACCGTTTTCGAGATACAGAATGTTGAAATTTTTTGGGACTCTACGTTTTTTCTTTTAACCCTTTGTGTCCCAAGAAGTCAAACATTTTGAAACTTTGTGACAGAATCAGACAGAATTAAAACGCTATCAAAATACACTCAATAAAGGGCTTTGGATTAAAATTTTAGCAAAATATGCAATCCCCCTATTTTCGCATAGTCTAAGTGTCAAAAAAGATGCTAATTCAAAAATTCCTGGAAACCGTGTTTATTGAAATTAAGAAATAAAACTTATTTTAAATTGAAGCTTGAAGCTTTCTGTTTAAATCGATGTATAACAATCGATGGGTAAAATTAAAAAAATATTGAGAAAAAGAGTATTGAGTACTAACATTTGAAAACTAACATTTTCGTATAACCTAAAAGTGTCAAAAAAGATGCTAATTTAAAAATTCCTGGAAGCCGTATTTATTGAAATTAAAGAATGAGACTTATTCTAAATTAAAGCTCAAAGCTTTCTCTTTAAAATGATGTATAATAATTGTTGGGTTGGATTGGAAAAATATTAAGAAAAAAAATGTTGAAACAACACTTACATTTAAAAGAGTCAAAAAAGATGCTAATTTAAAAATTCTTAGAAACCATGTTTATTGAAATTAAGGAATGAGACTTATTTTAAATTTAAGCTCAATGTTTTCTTTTTAAAATGATCTGTAATAATCACACCTAATAACCATTTATCAAAGAAATACCTGCTTGAACAACAAAATTCAACAGCACCACTTTTCACTAAACTTCTAACCTCACATCTGGATGAATAAGTTTAAAGTGTACCTAAAAATCCTACAGTGCGGATTGCGACGTTTTTTATACAGATTATTTCTTGTATACACTTGTATAGTAGAAAGTACAGACAGCTCTAAATGCGCCGAATAGATAACTACAGTTTAAAATTACCGGTACTTTAAAGTACCGTCGGGACACAAAGGGTTAAACTGTAACTACTACAGGTTTGATAATTGGCAAATCGATACAATATGAAACTGTCTCTTTTTGAGAGTAGTATGATGTTTCCATTGCTTCCAGTTAGTATAAGTTATTCCATTACAAAACGTTATGCCATTAGTTACCAAAATTTGGCCATTACAAGAAGTAGGTTTTACCTTACGTACAATCTACTAAGATACATTAATTTGACGTTTCGTTCAAATTACGAAATAACCAAATTCCAGCAATTATATGATATATTTATAATGAAGGAAACTTAAATTTTTGATGTAAGTAGCGCTCTTGCCTCAGCAGCTCAACTGCTGAGGCAATTATATGACATATTATAGTGAAAAAAACTTCCTAAATTATTTTTTGTCTCAGCAGTTTTTCATATCAAGATATTAGATCCATTTTAGTCCATTACATCAAGGTTTTGCTATAAAATATTAATAAATTTTATTAATTTAATTTATTTTTTAGTATATAAAAAAATGAATGACGCAATGACGAAACACCCCGACGCTGACGTAATGGTGAATTTCGCCTCGCTCCGATCCGCTTATCAAAGCACCGTTGAAACGATGGATCACCCCCAAATTCGAACGATCGCGATCATAGCCGAGGGAATCCCCGAAAATATGACCCGAAAACTCATTAAATTAGCCAATGAAAAAGCGGTTTCGATAATCGGCCCCGCCACCGTCGGCGGATTAAAACCGGGCTGCTTCAAAATCGGAAACACAGGAGGAATGATGGACAATATCCTACACTCGAGGCTTTATCGACCTGGAAGTGTCGCGTACGTTTCTCGCTCCGGCGGGATGTCGAACGAATTAAACAACATAATTTCGAAATCAACGGATGGGGTGTACGAGGGGGTCGCAATCGGGGGGGATCGTTACCCCGGGACGACGTTTATGGATCATATCTTACGTTATCAAAACGACGATAAAGTTAAGATGATCGTGCTTTTGGGGGAAGTCGGAGGAACGGAAGAATACGAAGTTTGCGAGGCGATTAAAACCAAATTAATCACAAAGCCTTTAATTGCGTGGTGTATTGGAACTTGCGCTAGCATGTTTACGTCGGAGGTTCAATTCGGACACGCAGGATCTTGCGCGAATTCCTCCATGGAGACCGCAGCTGCGAAAAACGAAGCTTTAAAATCATCGGGGGCTTATACACCAGATTCGTTCGATAATTTAGGGGATGTTATTTTGAATGTGTATCGAAATTTGGTTAAGCAAGGCGTGATTGTCCCCGCTGAGGAAGTCCCCCCACCCACAGTCCCGATGGATTATAGTTGGGCGAGAGAATTAGGATTAATTCGCAAACCCGCGAGTTTTATGACATCAATTTGCGATGAAAGGGGACAAGAACTTTTATACGCAGGGATGCCAATTTCCGATGTTTTAAACAAAAACGTTGGAATCGGCGGGGTTATCTCACTTTTATGGTTTCAACGTTGTCTCCCGGCTTACGCGTGCAAATTCTTCGAAATGTGCTTAATGGTAACTGCGGATCACGGCCCCGCAGTTTCGGGGGCCCATAACACTATCGTGTGCGCCCGAGCCGGAAAGGATTTAGTATCGAGCTTAGTTTCGGGGTTACTCACCATCGGGGATCGATTCGGGGGTGCTTTAGATAATGCGGCGCGCCAATTTAGCGAAGCTTACGACTCAGGTTTGCACCCCATGGAGTTTGTGAATCAAATGCGCAATAAAGGCCAGTTGATTATGGGGATAGGACATCGGGTTAAAAGCATTAATAACCCCGATCAGCGGGTTAAAATCGTTAAAGAATTCGTTATGGAGAATTTCCCCGCCACTCCACTTCTTTTGTATGCTTTGAAGGTCGAAAAGATTACGACGAGTAAGAAACCGAATTTAATTTTGAACGTTGATGGAGTTATTGCGTGTTCTTTTGTGGATATGTTGCGGAGTTGTGGGAGTTTTACTCGGTAAGTTTTGATTTATTACTTTTTTTTATTGATTTAATTTATTCATTTATTTGTCCACGACTACCTTATAAATGAGTTTTCTAAAATGAAAGGGTTGTCCAATTCCAGTGTGTTTATTGATTTAATTTATTCATTTATTTGTCCACGACTACCTTATAAATGAGTTTTCTAAAATGAAAGGGTTGTCCAATTCCAGTGTGTTATTAAGAATATTTTAGAAAAAAAAAAAGGATTGACATTAAAAAGGCGTAAATAAATTCTATTTTTCGTATGATTTAAGCATAAATTAATTAATTTTCGTAAAAAAACGACGTTTCATAAAATTGACATTTAATTTTGACAAATTGTCGTGAAGTTGGTGACATTGAATTTGTGTCACATTGACGTTTAACTTTATTCAAAAAAATAAATTTATGGAATCAATTTCATATAACATACGTAATATATTATTATTATACACTCACAATATTCGACGGTTGTTATAATGTGTTAAAAATGACGTTGAGGATATCACACTTTTCTAAAACAACTTAACCTCACTTTTTCAAATGACATTTTTGACGTTTCTTTAAAAATATTTTATTTAACTCACTTGGTTTTAGAAATAAAACTAAAACGAAATTTGCGTCATAGAAGTTCGTTTTACGTTATTAAAAAAAGAAATCAAATAATAATTCGCGATTTTCGTAGTTTTAAATTACCTTAAAATATTTGACATGACGAGAAGTTAGTACTTTTTCCAACAGATGGCGCTATCTCCTATGCGTCTTTTTCAAGTGACATTTTTGACGTTTCATTAAAAAAAATGTATTTAGCTCATTTTACGTTAGAAATAAAACTAAAACTAGAAATTTTGAGATTAATAAATTTCTACTTTTAGTTTTATTTCTTATTCCATCGACAGTAACGGTTGTGAAAAATGTCACTTGAAAAAGTGAGGTTAGGTTGGATTCAATAGATATTTAGTATCTCGTGGGGAGTTTCAAGCGAGATCGCTTCTTATAAATCGCTGTACTCTGTTTTTAAACCAGGAGGAGTATTTTAAATTTGTCACCAGATTGACCTTTTGTAATGTCAATTATAGCGTGAAGGAATGTGAGGTAAGGTTAGTTTTGTTTACAAACATTAATTATACCATGACGTTTTCTTTGGCAATTAGTAATGGCAATTATAGCGTGAAGTTTTCTTTTGTAATGTCAATTATAGCGTGAAGGAATGTTAGGTAAGGTTAGTTTTGTTTACAAACATTAATTATACCATGAAGTTTTCTTTGGATAATTATTTGAAACGTCAAAAAACGTCAAAATGTCAAAAGACGTCAATTTAGTTTAATTTTTTTAGGACTTTGTAAAGGATTGACATTAAAAAACGTAAACAAATTCTATTTTTCGTATGATCTAAGTATAAATTAATTAATTTTCGTAAAAAAAGCGACGTTTCATAAAATTGACATTTAATTTTGACAAATTGCCGTGAAGTTGGTAACATTGAATTTGTGTCACATTGACGTTTAAATTTTATTCAAAAAAATAAATTTCCTAATCAATTTATTTGAATCAATTTCAATAGTAATCGTGGACAAAGTATAGTATTCTACTCACGTATAATGAGCTATTATTCACTCAATTTAACCTTAATGATAAATAGTCTCCATTATATACTCATATAATATACATATTATATTATTATTAAACACTCACAATATTCGACGGTTGAGGATATCACACTTTTCCAACACAACCTAACCTCACTTTTTTAAATGACATTTTTTTGACGTTTCTTTAAAAATATTTTATTTAACTCACTTGGTTTTAGAAATAAAAGTAAAACGAAATTTGCGTCATAGAAGTACGTTTTACGTTATTAAAAAAAGAAATCAAATAGTAATTCGCGATTTTCCTAGTTTTAAATTACCTTAAAATATTTGACATGACGAGAAGTTAGTACTTTTTCCAACAGATGGCGCTATCTCCTATGCGTCTTTTTCAAGTGACATTTTTTGACGTTTCATTAAAAAACATGTATTTAGCTCATTTTACGTTAAAAATAATACTAAAACTAGAAATTTTAGGGTTAATTTTAGCGAGATCGCTTCTTATGAATCGCTAATATGAAAGGAAATCTTCGAGAACGCACTGAGTGAGTAAAATAATTTTTTTTTGTAATGAAACATCAAAAAATGTCATTTCGAAAAGTGAGGTTAGATTTAATTGGAAAAGTGAGGTTGGGACGAACAAAAATAACATTTTCCAGCACAATTTTAACCTAACACGGCCGTTTTCGAAGACATCGGCCGCCCCCGAGAACACGAAATGGTCATTCTCTCAAGTGCGAGTAGAAATCCAACTGAACGTTTTCAATGTTTTAGCGCCCTCCATGGCTGGGGGGCGACCGATGTCTTCGAAAACGGCCGTGTTGATACTCGAAAATGATGTTGATTCTTAATAACTTTTCCAACACAACCTAACCTCACTTTTTCAAATGACATTTTTTTTGACGTTTCATAAAAAAATTTTACTCACTCAGTTTTAGAAATAAAACTAAAAAGAGATTTGCGTCATAAAAGCTCGTTTTAGTCACTCGTATACTTTTTACGTTATAAAGAAAGTAATTCGTGTTTATCGTGGTTCTAAATTAGGTTAAAATATTTGACATGATGAGAAGATAGTTACAAACGTATATTTTAAGGCTTTATCGGCAGATGGCGCTATCTTCTATGCGTCTTAAAGCCACATTTTTTGACGTTTCATTAAACCAAGTTTATTTAACTTATTTTGTGTTAGAAATAAAACTAAAACTAGAAATTTTGAGGCTTTGAGCGGCTGAGTTTACTTTTTGTGGCTGTTTCAAGCGAGATCACTTCTTTTGAATCGCTAATATGAGGACGCACTGAGTGAGTAAAATAATTTTTTCTTTGTAATGAAACGTCAAAAAATGTCGCTTGGAAAAGTGAGGTGAATAATCATTATTCAAGGATAATTAATCAACTTGACAGACATAGATTTAAACATAAATTAATTTTCATAAAGAAAACGACGTTTCACAAAATTGACATTTAATTTTGACAAAATGTGAAGTTGGTAACATTGAATTTGTGTCACATTGATGTTTAAACTTTATTCAAAAAATAAATTTATGGAATTAATTTAAATAGTCGTGGACAAAGTAAATAACAGCCCTCTTTATGTGCTCCTATAATAATATACTATTATTTATTTATTTATTTAGGGAAGAAGCGCAAGAATATATAAATATCGGCGCGATAAACTCTTTATTCGTTTTGGGGCGTTCCGTCGGATTCATTGGACATTACATGGACCAGAAGCGATTGAAACAGGGGTTGTATCGCCACCCGTGGGACGACATCTCCTACGTTCTTCCAGAGCAGTACAACAATTAATTACGAATTTTTGTGTGTAGAATTAAGAATCGTTGCTTGTAAGTACCGTTTTATATCTTTTAATTACTTTCTTTTTAAATTTGAGTATCTCGAATAGTAGAGAATGGGATGATGATGGGAGAAATGAGGATTAAAATGAACTAATAGATATTTATTGACGTTTTTAAGCTGTAATTATTTATATTTTTATATTGACAAAAAGAAAATTAAGGTTAACTCACTTCAAGATGGATTTTTTTTAGGTTAGGTTTCGTGTGAGTGATTAGGTTTTTTGATTTGGAAGTAAGAAATGTATTTGAACGCATTTGTTTATTATTACTTACTTATTTATTTATTAAAAAAGTAAATGTATTAATAAATATTTTAGAAACTAAATTGAGTTAATAACGTACCTTCAATAATCCATCTAAAACAATCAAAAATTTACCTTGCGCCATATCATTTTAATCCACTTCTTAATCCTTTAATATTCTTTCGACTCATGGAGGTAATTCTGATTCGATTGCATCTTTTCCAAGCTAAATAAACAAAAACAATAAAAAATCTCGGAGATTTCGCAGCTTTAAAATCAAATTCAACTTTTTTTGCAAGTTTTACAACTTACTCTGTTCACAAAACAACTTCTCATCATTTTTCGCATCAAAAATAACATTAAAGGGGGAAAGAAGAACAAAAAAAAAAAAAAAATAAAATAGAGGAGAATCTCAGAGATATTTAATAAACATCATTTATTTCTATTTCTCTCCACAACTCCCACTTTCTCTCATCACCATCATCACCGCGATTTAAATAAAAAAAGAAACATTTAACACCCCAACATCATTGTAACAAAACAAAATTTAATTCTTTTATTCTCAACTAAAAATCTAAATCGGAAATTCAAACGTTTAAGTTTATATTGTTACATCACTCACTAAATTAAAAAAAAATTTACAGTCTTACAAGAAAGGGGACACTCGAGCCGCACACTCAGTTCACTTCCGTCTCTAATTATTAATTAATTCTTTAAACTTTAAATTCATTATTATCATTTCGTTTCTTTTAACTCAAACATTTTAATCGTACTTTAAAAAACCCTTATCCTGTTGTTGCTGAGGCGGGGGCCTCGGCCATTGACCATCTTGACCTTGACCCTGATTCATCCAATTCAAAAAACCTTGATTATTTCCACCACCTTGATTACCACCGTTTGCGTTATTACCTAAAAAAAATCATTTATTTCAATTTTATTAACAAATTAGAACCCAACCTCACTTTTTTTTTATTTTTTTTACTTACCACTGTTTGAATTTGGTGGATTATTAAATCCCTGATTAAAATTAGGTTCCGGTTGATTTTGCAAGTTTCCTATTAACCCCCATCCGGCTTGGTTTAAAGCTGCTGCGACAAGCGCGGGATTCATCGGGAGCGCCCCAAGGTTCAACCCGGCTAATCCGAGGGGGTTACAACTCGTTTGGGTGCTTCCCTGTTGCCCCTGACCCGTTATACCTAATCAAATCAAAAAAAAATAATTTTCTAACCTCAAAATTACAAAAAAAAAACTAATTTAGTACCTTATTGAGCCATTAAAAAGAAAAAATTAATTAATTTAGGTAATTTGATGATTTTGGAGGTGCATTCAGGAAAGAGGAAGGAGTTAATAACTTAACTGAAAAAGAAATTAATGTTTTATTAATTATTTTAGATTAAAAAAAAAAGTGAGGTTATGTCGAGGTAAATAATTAAATAATAAAAATAAAATAAAGCAAGGTTAGGTTTTACTTTTAATCTCATTACCTAAAGCTTGCAAATTAGGCATATCAATATTAGCTCGATGCCCTTGATTCCCCCAATTTCCTTGATTCGGCCCTGGATTATATCTTTGTTGATACATCCCAGGCCCATCGGGGCCCCCGGGGCCGCGATTCCCCCCGTGACCACCCGGGCGAGGCCCACCACTTCCATATCCGCCCCCTCCACGCGTTTCCGATTTCGGGGCTGCGTTTGAAACATGCACCGAAACACCTAACCTCAAAAAAAAAATTTTTTTATCATTAATTAAATTATTATTAATTAGACCGCGTTATACATCATTTGACTAAGCGACATTTTATCGTTTTATAGTTATAAATGTGCTAAAAAATTACGTTGAGGATATCACATTTTTTTGACGTTTCGTTAAAAAAATTTTTTGACATGACGAGAAGTTAGTTATAAACGTAATTTTTCCAACAGATGGCGCTATCTCGTATGCGTCTTAAACCGACATTTTTTGACGTTTCATTAAACGAAGTTTATTTTTAACTTATTTCTTATTCCATCGACAGTAAAAGTTGTGAAAAATGTCACTTGAAAAGTGAGGTTAGGTTGGATTGAATGGATATTTCGTATCTTGTGGAGAAATTCAAGCGAAATCGCTTCTTATGAATCGCTAATATGAAAGAAAATCTTCGAGGACGAACTAAGTGAGTAAAATAAATTTTCTTTGTTAATGAAACGTCAAAAAATGTCATTTCGAAAAGTGGGGTTAGATTTAATTGGAAAAGTGAGGTTGGGGCGAACAAAAATAACACATTTTCCAGCACAGTTTTAACCTAACACGGCCGTTTTCGAAGACATCGGCCGCCCCCGAGAATACGAAATGTTCATTCTCACAAATGCGAGTAGAAATCCAACTGAAGGTTTTCAATGTTTTAGCGCCCGGGGGCGGCCGATGTCTTCGAAAACGGCCGTGTTGATACTCGAAAATGATGTTGAGGATTCTTAAATACACTTTTCCAACACAACCTAACCTCACTTTTTCAAATGACACTTTTTTGACGTTTCATTAAAAAAATTTAACTCAGTTTTTGATTTAAAACTAAAAAGAAATTTGCGACATAGAAGCTCGTTTTAGTCACTCGTATACGTTTTACGTTATAAAGAAAATCAAATAGTAATTCGTGGTTCTAAATTAGGTTAAAATATTTGACATGATGAGAAGATAGTTACATACGTATATTTTAAGGCTTTATCGGTAGATGGCGCTATCTCCTATGTGTCTTAAAGTGACATTTTTAAAGTTTATTTAACTTATTTTGCGTTAAAAATAAAACTAAAACTAGAAAATTTGAGGTTATACCGTGCGTCAAAGATGCTTTAATTTTATTATTATATTCGTAATCTTCATTAAAAAAAAAACCTTTAAAATGAGTCCAAACTTGATGCATTTAACTTTAATATTAATGGAAATACAATCACTTCCGGTTTGAAACGTCAACGTCAATTTTCATATATTTGTCATCTTCATTAAAAAATCTTTAAAATGAGTCCAAAATAAAAATCATTAAACCCGAAGTTAGCACCAATGAAGATAGCAATTTAATTTTTAAATATTAATACCAACCTTAACTTTTTATTTTTTTTTAGTATATTTTTGTTTTTGTGACAATTTATAAAAATTAAGAATATGTCAAAATCACATTTCAAACCAGAAGTTGCTTATATCTCGAATAATATTGGCATTAAACCCAATTACAAATATGTCAAAATTGACGTTGACATTCTTAACCGGAAGTTGACCATAACTTCAATAATATTGAAGATAAATATGGCGTATTTGTACTCATTTTAAAGGATTTTTAATGAAGATTACAAATATGTCAAAATTGAGGTTGACATTTTTAACCTGAAGTTAGTTATCATATAATAGAAGTTTTATAACTGAAGTTAATCTAGTCTTAGTCGCTTTTCAGCACTTTTTTTCATTTTTAACGTGTTTTTTAAGCCAAAAGAGCGTTCTTAAATTTTAACCTGTAAACTTGTAACACTTCGTTCTTAATTTCATTTTACAACTTTTTAAACTTTAATTTTGTAAATTAGTAGCTAATAAGCTGATTTCAACTTTGATATGTGATCTTTTTTAACAAAACAAAAAGAAATGTTAAGAAACTTCTTTGTAAAATGGATAAGATGGCCAAGGGCCGAAACCGGTTTTTTCGACGTATATCAAAAACGAAGAGGGCTATGAAAATTTGGTTTGCGTCATTGTAAGTTTCACAAAAAAGTAGCTCAGGTTCGCGAAAGCCGCAACTTTCTATCTTTCATAATAACTGAGATACCCTGCAAACCCATCGAAATTTGGACACCCGCTACAATTATTTCCACAAATCGACTTTTGTTCTAGTAAAATCCAGAAACACCCCTTTGTGCATTGTCTTGTTTTTAAACAAAACGTAATCTTGCGATTCTGTGATAATGAATGTTATTATTCCTCAATTAATGTGATTTGTAAATATTTAGATGTTTTTGAATTTTGTTAACGATGTCCCGTCGTCGTCTGCGTCAACTGTTATCTTGTCGCGTATATTTTTCCTGGGTAATTGAGACGATTACTCGGTATCCGTCCTCTTCGCTTCGCCCTTCTCAAACGGAGCCTGCCAAGAACGCAGATAATGAACGCTTTCTCCCNACTTTTTTTAGTGTCATCAAAAAAAATTAAATTTACAGTTTCCTGTAAATTATGGTACTATAACTAAAAATTATTTTACTAAAAATTTATATAAAATTTACTTTATTTCCTAATATGTAACATTCTAACATGTTAAACATTCCGTAATTTTTTTAATCCACCTTAAAAAACAGGATTTTTAATTTGACACTTCAGAAAAATTTTGAATACAAACAAATGTTGCTATGTTTATTTGAATTAAATAAAATATTTATGAGCGCCATCTATCAATACTTTATTAAGTCATTTAATAATAATATTAAATATTAATAAAAAATGTGAAATAATGCAATCTATTCCAACTTTTGTGTAAAACAAATATAAATTAAATGGTTTAACAAATGTATTTGTTTCAAATATCAGAAATATGTTTTTTTTAATTTTTAGTTATAATTTACAGGAAACTGTAAATTCTTGTAAATTATTTTTAGCTTTATTCTAAAACAACAAAAAATATACCTGTCAAATCCTATATTTTCAATAATTTGAGCTTATCTATTCTGAGAAGTCTTATATTTTTAGGAGATGAAAACGAAAATCCCATTTATGCCAACATTATCCATTTGTGGCTTAATCAAGTGATGCATAAAGCGGTCCAATTAATTAATGAATTAAGTACCTTTAATGATGTGATCCTCCCCACATAAGCTTTGAGCAACCTCCGGGTCTAAAAACGTGACGAAACTGAATGCGCGGAAAGGTTTTGGGATAAAAACGTCGGTGACTTCGCCGTATTTTCCAAAATACTCTCGTAAATCATCGGCGGTGAGATCTTCCGTGCAACGTCCAATAAAAACTTTGCATGGAACTTGTTGGATTAAACCCTCCTTAAAAAAGAAATGAAAAAAAATTAATTTTAATAATAAAAATAAAATGACATAACCTCAATTATTAAAATTTTTTAAATTTATTTTGAGGTTATGTTATAATTGTCAACATACTTTCGAATTGGGTACTTTAACATCACACCACCGACCGTCAATCATGTGCCTTTGGGCCAAAACACGCATTTGAGATTCATAAGATGCGAAACGAATGAAACCGAATCCTTTCGATTGGCCAGTTTTAGCGTCTTTTTTAACCTTAATTTTTTTTTAGGGAAAATAAACAAAAAGAAAAATGTTCACGCAGATTCATTTTTGCAATCACTTCTACTTCACCTGTGCCATTAAAACTTCACCAAACGTCTCAAAATACTCCCTCAAATTCTGTTCAGCAGTCTTCCACGGTAAACCCAACACAATCAAATCCGTACATCTCAACTTACTCTCAATTCTTTTAGTTTTCGCGGTTGAATTCTCCAAATTATCATCACTCTTTCTCTTATTCTCTACAAAAAAACACATCAATCTCAACCAAACGCATTTAAACCACACCAGAAATAAAAAAGATAATTAAAAAATAAAAACTTAAATAAAAATTTAAGTACCTTTAGGGAAAACGCAGTAGAATATTTGTGATCCCCAACCGATTTCGGGGGGCGGATGTAAACGGCCCTCGCTTAATCTAACACCCCGCATCGCCCTCGAATCGGGGTTTCTGTATTTTAAACCGCAAGAACCCGGAAATTGGGCGGAAAGCGTGCTGAGAAGGAGCGTTCCGTCATCTTCCGTTGGAAGCTCGATCGGTTCTTCTCCTTCATCCTCGGCTACTTGCAAATATTCAATCGACATTTTCACACCGGACTCACACACACACGGAATTGGGGCCCTAAAATAATCCCCGGCAAATTCACATACACTTTTTATACAAAATGGCGGACTAGCTTGGTTGATAAGAAAACGTTTAAACGTCAAATGTCAAAAATTATGCAACAACTAAAATTAATTACAATAACATTTCAAATTAATCCGATCGATAATTTCAATCAAAATCGAAATTTATTATTAATTAATAAATAAGTAGAGTTAAAAATTATTAATAAAAATAATTTTTTTTATTAAAGAAATTTTGGTTCTAAAAACGAGATGGCGCCACTTTTATTTCTGTTAAATGTCAATTAGGGTTAGTTCGTTTTTATAACAATTTATAAAATTTAAATTAATTTAGTTTATTATAGTTATATATATAGTTATAATTGTTTGGTGCTTGTCCATTTTTATTACAAAACACTGATGGCAGCTATCACAAGATTATACAGGTGTTTCTGTAAGTTGTAGCATAAATTTAATCACAAATATTAGAATCAAAATGACGAGTAAATAATGTAGAGTTTGATTTTGTACTTTTAAACTGGTTTTTATTTTATATAGAATTTAAGTCTAACCAGTTTTGGCCATCTTCAGAGACTCTACAAATAGATTAACATCTCTCATCTTATCCATTTTAACAGCGCCATAATTAACTTCAGTTATAAAACTTCTATTACATGATAACTAACTTCAGGTTTAAAATGTCAACCACAATTTTGACATATTTGTAATCTTCATTAAAAATTCTTTAAACTGAGTATAAACATGACATATTTATCTTCAATATTAATGAAGTTATAGCCAACTTCCGGTTAAGAATGTCAACGTCAATTTTGACATATTTGTAATCGTCGTGAAAAAACCTTTAAAATGAGTCCAAACATAATACGTTTAATTCCAATATTACTCGAGATATAAGAACTTCCGGTTTGAAATGTCAATGTCATTTTGACATATTCTTAATTTTTATAAAATGTCTTAATATTTGTCACAAAAACAAAAATATAATAAAAAAAAA